CAGGTTTTCCCCTGTTGTTTCAAGTTGGCTTATTGAGTTTGTACTTCCTTCATTTCTGCCTGAGTTTTCTTCAATGGTTCTATCTCTTTTGTGAATTCATTCAGAAGTTTATCCCTATCTTCTTTTAGTTCTTTGATTTCTTTGTTCGTGTGTTATTTCAATTTGTTTAATTCCTTGATCATGTTTATGATTGTTCTTTTAAATTCAGTGTCCTGGGTTATCTCTAGGGGGTTCTCCTTGTAGATCTCTTCTACAGGACTGGTGGAGTTTGGTGGGGACATAGTGGCTTTCCATTTTACTATTCTTTCTTTGTGATTTTGGCATGTGAATTTCTTTTGTTGTTTGTGATTCTGATATGAGAATTGAGTTAAAGTGTGCTACTGTTTGTATCATTGGTGTGCCTTAGTCCTTTTCTTACTGATTATATAAAGCTGGTTGGTCCAGGTTTCAGCTTCTCTCGGGTTTTATTTTGGAAGGAACTCATGGCTTCAGATCAGCTACTCAAGAGCACCCACAGAAGCCCAAGTCAGATACCAGTCAGGTACACTCAAGCTTCCTTATAAGGCTTGGACCTCTACCACCAGGAACACCACATGGAGGCAGGATCCAGGCACTGTCTGGTGGTCTGCTGAAATAACAGCTGCTACCAGGTTTTAGTTTTTATTAATATGTGTACATATATACACATACATATATATATATACACATACACACATAGCTTCATAAACATGTTTTATGCATACATTTACACATGCTCAGAACTGTGTACTACCCTTTTTTTGTTTGTTTGCGTTTTGTTTTTATGAGACAGGGTCTGCTTATATAGCCCTAGCTGGCCTGGAACTTTCTAAGAAGCTATGACTAGCTTTGAATTCCTGATCCTCCTGCCTCCAACTCCCATGCTAGAATTACAGCTGTACACCACCATGCCAAGCTCATAGCTGTTTTTAAGGCTAGCAGTTTTAATGCCATCACCCTGCTGAGCACTCGCTGCATGTAAGGTAGCTGGCTGAGGAAAGGCTGTGCAGAAGGAGGTATATATATATATATATATGGTTGCGTCATGACACTAGAAAGGGAACCTAAAAAAAGAAGGACTAAGGATGTGGCCCAGTGGTAGAGTGATTACTAGTTCAAGACCTGGGTTCAATCCCGGTACCAGGGTGGGGGTGGGGGCTTAAGGAGAGGAGAATACATGAACATGAAAGCAAGCAAGGGGTGGTTGGTTGTTAGAGGGAAGAAGGCAACGCAGCAGGACAAGCAAGGGAGCACACACAGGAAAGGAGACATAAGAATGCACTATGTTTGAAAATGCCACAATGCTAACTGTATGCTGTACAATAGAATTTACATGCTAACTTTAAAAACTAATAGTAAAAATTGATACATAGTCTAGTGTATTTTTCACTCTTAAGTCTTACCATCCATCAGTGTAAAGCAGTGAACTCATGTCCTGTCTGTCTTCCTGCCTCCCTGCCCTTCCGGCATGAAGCTGTTCTTCAGCACAGTTAGTGGTCTGTCCTTGTCCCCCTTGTGTCTCACATTTAGGCACACCCTCCTGACTTCACAAAATGAATGCCCTTTTGTGGGGGCAGATTCTCAGCAGCACCTTGGGAGGGTCTAGTTAAAGACACACAGAATGTTTCTAGAACCTTCTACATATGCATTTCACACACACACCTCAACCAAAGCAGAAAAGTCTGAGGTTTAGAAAAGATGACCTTTCAAAGATCACTAGTAGAAAGCAAAGGCAGGCTTGGGGTACACATCCACCTGAGCCTCTGTAGTGTTTCCTTGAAGGTCTGCTTTCTGATGAGATGGGCCTCATTTCATTCATCTTAGCTGGGCTCCCCAGGTAGCCCCCTTCTCTGCTGAATGACATAGTTTTGAGTTTTAGTATCAACTCTGAGCTGTGTCTTATGAAAGCATCATAAGTATCCACAGTCAAATCTCAATAAATATAAAAACTAAACACCAAAAGTGTCTGCCTTGTGAAAAAAATATGGTCCATGTTTATGCATTTATAGCCAAAGCACACAGCAGCATGCCTGGTGTGTAGTATACTTTTTTTAATATATTTTTATTTATTATTTTTTATTTTATGTGTATGAGTGTTATGCCTGCATGTAAGTAGTGCACCTGTGTCATGCAATGCTCATGGAGGACAGAAGAGGCTATCAGATCCCCTGGAACTGGAGTTACCGACAATTGTTAGCTGCCATGTAGGTGCTGGGATTCGAACCCGGGTCTTCTGCAAGAACAGTGTTCTTAACTGCTGAGCCATATCTCCGGCCCCATGTGTAGTATACTTTTACATGCATGCATTTTTAAGACATTTGGTGAGTTACAAAGCCCCTACTCCTAGTCAGCCTTGTGGAATAAAGTTCCTGTGTGGGGTAGAAATAAGCCTCACCCTGTACTCTCCCGCCTTAGCCTCCCAAGTGCTAGGATTACTGGCTAATGCCAGCACAGCTCCCTAAAGTATATGGTTTCTTCAATAATTCTTTCTTCTGTGGCAGTGAATGCATTCAGGAGTCTAGCTTGACATGCAGGCATGTATTTCTGCTTCTGACATATCTCTCTGGTCTTTGTCTTGCAGTAAATGTTCATTTCTGAACTCTGAGTGATCCTTGGGGCGGGGAGCCGGGGTTCATAATATGTTGCTGATGCCTTTTAGTGTTAATGATTATATTTCTGTTTCAGCTCAGTAGCATACCTATCTGTGAGCAGTTACCACAGCTAAATTTCATCTTCTGATACCAGTAGGTTGACTTTTTCACTGAGCCCATGGTGTTTTCACAAACACTTTTCCTGAGCTGAACAAATTCTGTGTAAAACCATAGCACACAGATGCTATGAGGTGATTCGTGAAACTATTCTGAGGATTATAAAACAAAGCCAGTGTCATAAAATGAATCTTTTGCTTCAGTGCCATGCTCTTCCAGAAAAGCATCTCTAAGAAGCTTTCAAATGTTGCATCTTCCTCAGGCATTGGATGGCTTCATCATCGCCGTAACGACAGACGGCAGCATCATCTATGTTTCTGACAGTATCACGCCTCTCCTTGGGCATTTGCCGGTGAGTTTCTGCTCCAATGGCCTTGGCCTGTGCATGTTTTCATCTTTTCTGGAAAATCATTCATCTCAGATCAGAGATGGTGCAGGTATGGGGGTGGGGATGAGAGGGGGATGTACAGAGAGTTAAAAGAGTGCTCAAGTCCTGCAGGACCAAACCAAAGAATAACAGGTACAAGTGTACAGCACCCTGGAGTAGGCCTGGAGTAGGGACACAGATACAGACTTTTATCCCTGGGCAGAAACAGAGGCTGACGTCAGAGTCTCACTGTTAGAGCTGAGAAGACAGCAGACATCCCTGGTCAACTGAGAGCTGATTGAGGAAGGGGTATCAGAAGGCTCAGGCTGGACTATGCCTTGGGGTTCACTGAGGACACGTCTGAGAGTCCAAGTAGGCCACAACACTAACCATGGTGATCTTTTAGCAGCAGGCACGCTTCTTGGAAGTTGAAATACTCTAAGAAGATGTTGTTGGACCAGTGCCTTGGAAGGCCTTGGGGAAGGAGAAGGGATTGTACAGCTGAGGAGGAGAGGGCCAGCTCTGTAGTTCATAGGTAGATGATGGAGGCTTGTGAGTGGGGTGGTTGCAGATGTTCACAGACAGATGTCCCTCCCTTCCCTCCCCCTTCCTCCTTCTCTCCTTTCTACTTCCTCTTTCCTTCCTCCTCTGAGCAAACCTCTGGGGTTCTCTGATAACAATAGCTTAGCATCAAATCACTCAAAGATCTGTCCCAGGCTGGAAGAGGACCCCACCCTTGAGGAAGCCTCCAGACTTGCCCAGCATCCCACTTCCTGCCATGCTGTTACTGAGTCCCACAGAATTTGACCCGTAATGCCAGTTCCCCTAGGAGCAGCATATGAGTGACAGATCCTGTCTTCTTGGCCCTCCCAACCAGTCTGGCTCATCACCCCTACACACAGAAGGATAAGCATCCAGTTTTTGTGTCAAGGATAGCAGCTTGTCCAGGATTCAGCCAAAGGAGATCTTGGGCCAGCGTGATACTGGGGAACTATAGTCCTCCCTCTTTCATAGCCACACTGGGCCAGGCAGCAGCATGGTCCTTCTTCATGGGCAGCTTCCGTTTGCCTTTGGGTGGTGAGTGTCACTCTGCTAGTGGCTCAGGTTTCCTTCCACATCATCCTGGTCTATGGGTTCCTCAGAGGTCACTCTCCCAGCCCATCATTTCTACAGATGGTGCTGTGTGCATACAGAGATAACACTGTTTTCCCTGTGCTGTTGCTGTGTCTTAGGCCTAAAAAGGCACTTTTGACCTGCTGACCACGATACCATAGCCTAACCTAATAGATGTCACCATTTCCTGAAGCCGGGTGGGACAGGCAGCTGGGGTATCTCTCCTCATGACAGTGTTCTTAACTGCTGAGCCATCTCTCCAACCCAATAATGATAATTTTAAATTTAAAAAATAGACTCTTGTGACTTCTGTTTAACCTTCAGAGCAGCCATTGATTTCCATCCCAATGTGTGACCTAGTGCAAGAACTGACTACCGTTCTTGCTTGTGTGCCTGCTCTGTAGTGTTTCCCGGTGAGCATGAGCAAGCTGCCCTAGAGAACTGACAAGCTATTGAATTGCTGGGCTGCAGGACAGATGTGACTTCACCTTTATTATATGAAATAAGACCACCCCCTCAGCAGTGTCAGTTAAGCTCTACCATCAGCGAGAGATGTTCTGCATGCTCTGAGTCCTCAGAACTTGGTACAGCCAGATTTCTTAGCTTGGCCATCTCATGTGTGGGAAGATATCTCATAGAGCTTTAATTTGCTTTTCTCCCAGTTCTGAATGACACTGGTTTGTTGTATGTTTGTTGGCTATATGGATGTTCTCTTCTGTGACAAGCCTGCTCAGGTACAGTCGTGCATCCGCTAATGATGAGGATCCTTTCTGCTGAATGCACCATTGAGTGATTTCATCACTGTGTGAACCTTGTGTGTACACACTCTTAGGCAATACAGTGTCACCTATTGCTCCTAGGCTCCAAACCTGTACAGTACATTCCAGTACTGGATATTGTAGCCATTGTGACACAATAGTATTTGTTATCTAAACCTAGAAAAGGTACAATAATGGCACGTCATAACCTTATGGGACAAACATCGTGTGTATGTGTGTGTGTGTGTGTGTGTGTGTGTGTGTGTTATCCATCACTTGCCAAAATAGCCATGTATTTTGGATTTGGGCATTTTCCTATCAGATTTTAGGTTCATTCTGTAATGAGTAATAGGTATTTTTGCCATGATCTGGACACTAGTTCTCAAGAAAGTGCTGTTCCAATCACCTCTTATTCACTGCCCCCTAGAGTCGTGAGGATATCTGAACACAGCACGTGGCACCTGACACTAGACTGATGAGATCAACAGCAGGACACGAGTTACACATACTCAGAGCCCAGTGGGAGGCCATGGGGCTACACTTAAGCAGAGGTAAAGGAACGAGACCAGAGGGAGCCTGGCTTTGTAGTATCCAGATGGGAGTGTGTGCCCAGATCCTAGCTGGCTTATTTGAGTAATTCTGCATTCATGACATAGAGCTACATCATCTCCTCGGGAATGAGTGGAGCTATGCCTGGTCCCTCAATTAAAAGGGTGTTTGGTGGAGTATGCCATCCATTGAGGCAGAGAAAGGAGGGGAACTTGTAGTCAGGCCAGGCCTCCAAATGCCAAGAATGCTTAGCATGTAATATTGAGCCTTAATTTTAGGTCTTTTCTCATAGATGGATGTACTGTAAATATCATCTCGCTGTGCGGCCTACCTTTGCCATCTCCTTAGGGTGTGTCGATAAACAAAGATATTCTTTTTTCGTAGTTGCCACTTTTTTTATTTAACTCTTTTTTTTTTACTGCACCAAGGTCAAAGCTATTTTCACACAGTCTTCTGGGAACCTGACTGTCTGGTCATCAGTTTAAATTGAGTCTCAGCTTAATCTAAGTATCTCAAACATGCCTCCAGTTCCCTGTTTCCTTTGGCTAGGCCAAGGTCCTTGGGACTTCCCTGAGCCCATTGGTGTTTCTTCTCAATGTGAGGCATCTCCAGGATTTCTCACATTGTCCTTCCTACCTGTAGAAAACAGCTCCAACTAGACTTGCTGTGGCTGTGGCCCCTCGAGGACGTGCTAAGAGTGAATATCCACCTGGCTCACCCTGTACCCCTCCCAGGCATCTTGCAGTAGCTTTTCAAGATATACAGGCTCACTGCACTTTGCTAGGTGCCATTGAACTTGCACATCTTCCACAGCAGATTCAACTCATCCCTAGGCTCTTAAGGCTCAGTGAGGGAAGACCAGGGAGCAGCACAGTGTAGAACTCAGGACAGACCTCCCTAGAAAGCTCTGAGTAGGGCCAATTCTCAGATAATCAGCCTAGGGCTTATCATCAAGTGAGAGAGGGTGCCTTCTGTCTCCCAAATTCTACCTCCTTCCTCCCACAGGTAAGTGATGCTCTTGAGGATGAGTCAACTGGGAAGATGTCTACAGAAAATACAGTCCCTCCCTCACCTCTGTAATTGCTATTCTTTTAATCAACAGAGCTTGGCTCATTCAAGAAACAATTCAACTACAGATGTAATTTACTCTTCCATCAACATTAGGGCTTGAATTTTCTAATTATCACTGTTTGTGTCAGTTTCTAGCTTATTCAGATGGTATCATAGTAATATAAGCAGCAAATGCATGTAAGGGCTAAATGCAGTTCTGAGCTCTGCTTATTTATCAACCAATCATAATCCTCATAACCTCCCATATAGCCCACCTACCCTACCTGTATCTTTGCGCTGTGCAGACCCTGTAGCCTGAGTGCCCCATAGCCCTGGAGCCTACCATTGCTCTTCTAGATAAAGACCTAGGCCGGGGTGGGGGGTGGGAGGGGCTGTTGTCACCTGGCTCTCTGCCACACCCATCCCGGGGGAAGGCTTCATATGGAACCCTCCAAGAAAAGTTAATGTTTTCAAATGCCTGAAATATCTTTAAGAAGAAAGGCTACTGTCATCTGTGAACATTAGTCATATGCTAAAATTACCAGAGAGAATGGGCTTAAAATAATATCATGTGCATCAGAAGGATGGTGGTGAAAGCCAGACAGAAAAATGATGGCAGGGGCTGGTGAGGGTCAGTGGAGTCTGTTCATAGAGGTGAGAATTGGTGCCTCCAACGTAAGCCATCCTGCATTCATCATTTCCTGGCCTCTAGGTGGGTAGCTAGCTTGTCCATGGTCTTCACACCCTCTAAGATGCTGGCTCCAGGAGGGAAAGGACTTTGCCAGCTCTGTGATGCTTCTCAGTTCCCAGAGTCTGGCACCTAGGAGCCCTCAGTAATGCTGGCTAGAATTGTAGGGCAATGACCAAAGTGCTTTGGACTCTCCTTCCTCTCCATCCCCTTCCCAGTCTGTCTCTTTTTAGACTCTGAGCATCTCTAGACTTGCTTTTTTTGGTGCCCTACTCTTCAGACTATGAGTGAGATCTCCTTAAACTGCAAGGACAGATGCTTTTCAACTTATATTGGGGTGGTATTCTGATGAGCCCATCTGTAAGTTGTGACGATCATTAAGTCAAAAATGCGTTAAATCCACCTAGCTGGGGGAATACCCTGACTCAGCAGCTCAGGACATTGTCCAGAGGGTTGTTTGTCTTTGTGATCACTGGGCTGACTTAGGCACCAGCTTACTACCTCTGCCCAGAACTTCTACAGGGGAATAGATTTCATATTTCCAGCCCAAGAAAAAAGCCAAATTCAAAAATTCTAAATGCAATTTCCACTGAATGTGAATCAATTTGGAGGCACTGGCAAGTGAGAAAATCCTAAGTCAGGGAACATCTATACCGCCTTGCTTCCTCCTGTCGCCTTCAGTGTCCGCCCAGTACACTAACTCCTCAAGCCAGGACTTTTGTAATCTGGGCCCACCTTCCCTCTGCAGCCTCCTTTTTCATGGCTCCCCATGCTGCAGGGTTTAATGGCTGTTGCTTCCATGCTTAGTGTATTCTGTGATCTCTGCCTGAAGCAGCCTTTCCACCTTGGCTGTCTCCCAGACTCCAGCCTACCCTCAGATCCCACCCAAGGATTCCTTCCTCATTTGAAGTCAGCATCACATACCTGGGGATCTCTGGGCACCTGTTTAACTTTCTCTCATGGGGATGACCATCTAGCTGGTCCACATGACATCCTGAAGGTCAAGGATACAGTAGTGAACAGGCTCTGAGTCTCCTATGGACACAAGGGAGGCAGAGGAACCAGTCTGCAGGTACCTAAGCTAGAAAACATCACTGCAGTGAAGGTGCCTCTGTGCCCATTCTATAAGTGGTTGTTCAGCACACCTAGCATTTATGGACTGTTTGCTGTATACTGTTTGTCAGCAGTGTAGGCCAATGAGCTTGTTTAATCCTTATTCTTCCTCCTCTTGCATTTGAGGAAAGCTCAGCTCAGAGGAGGCAAGCCAATGCTTAAACCCTCTCTAGGGCTCCTGCCTGCCTTGCTGTGGCAGGGCCATACTTGATGACATGGAGGCATGCTGATGATCTTGTGATCTGGTGCTCCTCTGGCTGCTTGGGAGTCAAATTTGACAGGGACCAGCACTGAGGCTGGAAGCCCAGTTTGGTCATATCATCATCACCAAAGTGAAGGCTGAAGGTCGTCAAGACAGGGGTGGGAACCATGAAAACAGATGGAGTGGAACAGAGAGGAAACCAGGCAGCTCAAAGGACACTATCTGGGTGTAGAGATAAAAGTGCTGGGGGGAGGGGGGAAGCAGGATGATCCAGATGCTGCCTGCGTGTGTGTGTGTGTGTGTGTGTGTATGTGTGTGTGTGTGTGTGTGTGTGTGTGTGGTATACCAGGTGACCAAGTGACTGATTAGCAATACCATTCATAGAGATGAGAAACCAAGGTGTGGAGAGGGAGAGGAAGGGGTGGATGGGGTTATGATGAGAATGCCTATGAATCTGTGATCTTGGGGACATCTGAGTGGCAGGTGGAAGGTTGGACCTGGCCACCGAAAGAAGGTTGGTAGAGGTTCACACTTACGATGGTGTTTACAGATGGTGTTTGAAGCTATAGGAGTGGATGTGTTTACTAAGGAAATGAGAAAGAATCTGTGCAGGTCTCCTCTCTCTACTGTGAGCTCCTACCTGTACTATCCAGCATGGTGGCCACTTGCCACACACAGCTGGTCCAACTTCAATAAAAATTAAATAAAATGTAAAATATCAGTCACATTGGCCAACTCCCAAGAGCTCAGCAACCATATGACTTGTAGCTTCTGTCATAGAGAAGCCTATACCTAATTCCCTTTGCTTCAAGGCAGCTCCATGGGACACAGCTATACCTAGACTCTATTTTCTATGTATTTGGTATCCCATTGTCCAGGAACTCATGGGGAAGGAAATGCAACTCCATCAGTTAGGGACCTATAAGAAATAAGCAGAAACATTTTGCTAGCCTAAAGGTCAAGAGAAGAGCTCAGTGTACCCTTTGAGGCCATTTAAAAGAATGACTGGCCTTTCCCAGGGCTCTATATTACCTATGCTGTCCCCAGCCAGAAGGCAAGAGTGTTGGCAAGTGGGGTTTCTTAAGCAAGGGAGGATGTGGTTCTCTGTGCATGTGTCAGACTTGACACAGATTTTTTCAGACCCACAGACAGTAGTACATATGCATCTAAGCAAGTACAGGACCCTCCCCTCCCCACAGATTGAACAAACTGAGGATTGAAAATACCTGGAAAAAAATATAGTGCCTGAACAGTACATGTATAGACCTTTTTCCATGTTATTAGTCCCCAGATGATACAAGTAGGTGTAGATATTCACAGTTCTTAAGGCATTATAAGTCATTTAGAGATGGTTTGAAGCCCCCAGAAGGATGGTCATAGGTTCTGTGGAAATCCTGCACCATTTTATAAAAGGTACCAGCATCTGTGGAATTTGGTGTTCGCATGGGAATCCTGAAACAATCGTCTGAGGATACCAAAGAACATCTGAAAAGCCTTTACTTTTTATTCTTGGGTAATTTCGTGCATCTGTATAATGTAATTACCATTTTCTCCTCTCATTAGCCTCCCTCCTCCCCCTCACTCCTGCAGAACACTTGCTTCTAACCAACAAACCCCTTCTACTTCCATGTATTTTTTATTTTGATTTGGTTTGGTTTTTGTTCAGTGTGTGACCCACTGAGTTTAATTAGGGCTGTTTGCACAAGCTTTGGTAGAGGATTAATTACTGGAGTATAGACAAGCTACCAGCGACCACACAACTGAAGAAAAGGATCCCCCTTGCCCAGCAACCAGAAGGCAGTATTCCACAGTTCTCCCCTCCATCCTCTAGCTCTCATAGTCCTTCCATCCTCCTTTGGCAATATTCCTGAACCTGGGGCAGGGTGATATACATGTCCCTAAAACTTTTGCTTTTGAAATTTATATATTTGCATTGCTGATTAAGCCCAGGGCCTCATTTCTATACAAGTGGGGTCTCACTGAGCCACAACCCCAACCCCTGTAAAACCTTTCACATTGCAATTCCAGGGTGCCGAGGGATTGATGGAGAGTCTTCCCTGACCACGGCATCTTGAACTTTCCATCTCTGATGGAAACTCAGCATCAGTTCTGAGTTGACAAGAATGCTCAATCCCTGCCTTCGCTCTTGACTCTTTTCCATGGAGTATGTACCTTTGCTCTTTATTTTCTTTTGCAGTCGGATGTCATGGACCAGAATTTGTTAAATTTCCTTCCAGAACAAGAACATTCCGAAGTTTATAAAATGCTTTCTTCCCATATGCTTGTGACGGATTCCCCCTCCCCAGAATTCCTAAAATGTAAGTTTTACTTTACTGGTGCTATCAGATCCAAAGACAAGAACTTTACTTTTAAAAGGAGGTCAGAATGAATTAAGAAGGGAGGACTAATTTTAAGAATAATTTTCCTCGTGACTCAGAACATTTCCAAGATCCTTTGAGGTATATTTTAAGTCTAATGCTAAAACTGGAGCTTGGAATATGTAAGACATTTAGCTTTTATGTGGAAAATTTGAAAGCATAGAGCTTTAGAATAATAACATGTTTCACCTGTGTGACAAGAGCTGCTTCTTTACATGAGAGGCTTTCAGCAATAAATAGGACAAAAATCAGTAAACAGTGTGCTTATTTTAGAGAACGCTAGAATGTTAAATTTCTGTAATACCGAGTAACCAACTGATAATTGAAAAATTAGGTCAGAAATTCATATTCTGTCTTCCTGAGGCTGTCATCTGGTTATTTATATGCATTTGCAATTTTTGTGAAATTTTAAAGTTTTCATCAAGATGTTTGGCAACCTGGATGGAAGGCAGACCTTGATGCCTGCTTACTATGAGTCCCTTAACAAAGCATACGCAATTGCAGGCGGTAGCAAAGAGGCTTGCATTTGCTCAAGCCTCAGTCCATTTTCCATGCATAATTGGCCCTGTCATACATCTGATTTTACTTCAAAGCAAAGCAAAAAGATTAAATTAAAGAGAGTGGCTCTATACGAGCAGCTTTATTTTAGTATACCATATGAAAACAACCAGAACTAATCAATGCCGACATAACCAACCACAGACATCTGTGAGCAAATTAAGACTAATTGAGTCCAAGTATAGAATGCAGAATGTGTATGAGCTACAGAGAGAAAACCCTGTAGATGCAAAGGTTAAAAGCCAGGTTCGAGCCAGGAGAAAAGCGCGTTGACGCAGGAAGTAAATCATGGAGGCAAGGCTTGTTTTGTCTGGGGTCTGTGTAACGTTTATCTTCCTTTTTCTCTTCCTTTAACGGCCCAGCTGACAACGATTTAGAGTTTTATTGCCATCTTCTCAGAGGCAGCTTGAACCCAAAGGAATTTCCAACTTATGAATACATAAAATTTGTAGGAAATTTTCACTCTTACAACAATGGTAAGCTTTAATTGCCCTATAATTGTGACAATGTCCTTTATATCATGCAAGCATGCACATGGGGTTCTTATGAATGTTGGGCGAAGAAGAGGGAGAGTATGTGCTTTTGATATTTGCATTTGGATTTTCCTGTTCCTGGGACAATTTGTGTGTAATCATTAATGTTCTCCCGTTCAAGAACACATTCACACATCTGTTTGTGCCAGTGCACACAGGCACCCTGAATTGCATGTGATTTATTTGTTTATTTATTTTCCAGCTGAATGAATAATTCTATACTGTGAGAAACAACTTACAGTTAATAAAGAACAGGCTCAGTCTGCACACTCTACCAAACAGGCCTTCATTGACACAGAGAGCTGGAACCATGCTCCCTTCATTTTTATCTCCACTTCACAGTCCTGCAGCAAGCACGATTTAATGGATCTGGTTCATGGGTCTTCGCTCACTATGACCCTGATGCACAGTAAAGGGGCTATTTTACCATGAGCCAGCAAACTATGTCGGGTAAATTATCAAGCAGGCAATAAAGTCTTATTTTCTGAAATTGCCCAGTCAACTAATTGCCCAACCTCTAACTGCAGAGACATGAACTCTGAACTAGACTTAAATGCTCATTTTCACTTTTGACCCATGCAAAATGGGAATGTAGGTCTCATGCCAGGAATTCAGAAATGAGATCCTGCTCTGGGCCAAGCACAAAGAAGCCTGCATTTTCTTTGCTGTTGGCCTCAAAATGCAACACAAAACAGATAGCTTTGGAAGAGCTAATGTTTCATAAAATAAATAAACTAACAGAGTTAGGAAAAAATAGAAGACATTGATGGGGAGTGGGGGAGAAAGAGAAGAGGAGGGGGAAATACCAAAGGAAAACAAAGACAGAAAACTGAGCTGTGGGGGTGGGGCAGGTGGGAGACACAGGGAGAAGAGAACAGCACTAACTTCTGCTGCTTTTGTTACTACTGTTTGACTCTGGACCCATGTGCGTCTGCTGCCCCAGCCAAATTAGTTCCAGGTTCCATAAGAACCAGCCAAAGTCGGGGCACAGTTTCCTAATGCTGAGGCTAACCAGGATTTTTCTTTCTACCTCAAATGATCCTTGGCTACTTGGTATTTGAATAAATGCACATGCTGCATTTAAAAAGCTTCAATGAGATGCTAAACAGAGTGATCCTGCCAGAGCAATTTTCAGGTCCAGGGTTTTTGCCTGGATAGTGGCCTCCATGGTTGACTTGGCCCTTCAGAGAATCAATCCATTCAGGGCTCCCAGTGCCTGCATGATGGGAGGTAGTGGGAGGGTCCACTCTGCCACACTGGGCGCTAAGTTTGAGCAAAGCAAGATGAAGCCAAGGCCTGACCATGTCTGATCTGACTCATCTGAAAGGCTTGGCAAACATCATGAGACAAATGTTAATGACCACACACAGAAGTAAATGGTAGCTTGTGAGGCTGCTGGATGAAAGAAGCTGACACCTTGTAGAGAAGCCAGCATCAAGCCAACTCCAGAGTAGTGATACTTTGGATGAGGCAACTTGTTAAAATGCAGATTCTCAGGCCTTGCTGAAAGATGCTAGTCCAGAAGACCTGAGGTTTAAGAAAGTACAGTTGGAAAGGTCTGGAGGATTCCAATCGCTAAAATTCTGGACTTCAACTAGTTATCAAACACTGTCCCTTAGAGATTAATACTCCTTCCAGTCAACTTCATCATTGACTATAAATGGTGGTTTAAGAGTAGGCTTAAAATGCATATGTTGATTTGTCCAACGCTAAAATGAACTACCATGCGGTTCAGTGTTTCCACTTTTAAGTACATACCCAAAAGAAGTGACAGCAGAAACTTGAAGCGATATCTATGCACCTGGGTTCATAGAAGCATTATTTGCAATAGCCAAAAGGAAGAAGCAACCCAAGTTCATCGGTGGGTGAATGGATAAACTGTGCAATATCCTACAATGGATTATTACTCAACCTTAAAAAGGAAGGGAATTCTGACCCTTGCTATAACATGGTTGAAAAGCATTAAGCTAAGTGCAATAAAACAATCATCAAAGGGCAAATATTGTGTGATTCCACTTATATAAGGTACCTGGTATAATTAAATTCCTAGAGATAAAATAAGAGTGTTTGCCAAGGACTGAGGGAGGGGTTTATAGGGAGGTGCTGAATGGGTATATAGTTTCAGTTGTATAAGATAAAGAGTTATAAAGATGGATGGTGTGATAGTATACTATCACCACACTTGGTACTACTTAACTGTACACCTAAAAGCAGAATGGGGCTAGGATGCAGTTCAGTCATAAAAGCACATACTTAAGCCAGGCATGGTGGCACACGCCTTTAGTCCCGGCACTCAGGAGACAGAGGCAGGCGGATCTCTGTGAGTTCGATGTCAGCCTGGTCTCCATAGAGAATCCAGGCCAGCTGCAGCTACAGGGAGACCCTGCCTCAAAAAGACAAAAAAAAAAAGCACATACTTAGCATGTACAAGGCTCTTTGTTCAGTCCCCAACACACACAGAAAGAGAGAGAGAGAGAGAGAGAGAGAGAGAGAGAGATAAGATGGTAACCTTTATATTTAGCCAACACCCTAAAAATGTGTGTGTTGACCATAACGCAATAATAGCATATCCTGAGAGGCCATAAGCACAGAGGGAAAGGCACTCTGCCCACAGACTGTGAGAACTATAGGATGCTGCCCCCCGACCCCACCCCTATGTCCCCATGTCAACAGTGAGTATACTCGATTTAAAGAATGACCTGTGATTGGCTGGAGAACAGCAGTTGTGTCATTTGTGAATTCTACATTGCTACAAATTTTATTAGGAAGTTGCCAAATTCACACTGAAGCATCCTGTCATTTATTACATTTTAGAGGGTTTCAAGGAAATAAGCAGGCTTCATTCTGAATACCTGGGATATTTTTTAACTAGCAAGGATTTATTTTCACTTCAAGTTGAGACAGTGTTTGTTTGCTTGAAAGAATGTGTGGAAATTATGTGTGACTTTGTTTTTAAACCATTGCTGCTATAAATATGCAGCATTGAAATTTTGAAATCAAGAATGTAATATCTTGGGTGGCTCTGCTCTTGCAGAGTACCCAGGTTCAATTCCCAGCACCCACATGGCAGCTAATTACTGTCCATAACTCCAGTTCTAGGGGATCTGATGCCCTCTTTTGGCCTCCACAGGCATTGCACATACATGGTAAACATGTATACATGTAGGCAAAAAACTCATACAAATGAAAGAAGAAAGAAAGAGAGAAAGAAAGAAAGAAAGAAAGAAAGAAAGAAAGAAAGAAAGGGAAAGAACTAAAATGTCATATTTCTCCAGAGTCTGCTGTACAAACCAAAATTAGAAAGATTTTATTGAGATGAGTCCCCAAGTGTAAATGAGGAGACCTTGGGCACAAAAGTCAAGGACCCAAAGTGAAATGTGTGAGTTTGCTACAGTTAGAATTAAGTTCTAGTGTTTCATTCCACCATAGTAGAGTGACTAGAGACAGCCATAATGTGCTATTCATTTCAGAACTCTGGGATAAAGGGTCTTGAATGTATACTTGCCACCAAGAAATGACGAATGTTTGAGGAGATACCTTATCCTGATCTGAACACTACACAACATATATATATATATATATAAAATGCCACATCATTCCTCCCTCATTAGTATGTAAAATTCTCATGTGTGAACTTTAAAAAATAAGGGCTAGGGTGTAGCTCAGTGGTAGAGCACTTGCCTAGCATACCTAGGGCCCTGGGTTCCATCTGCAGCAAGAGTAGGCAAGAGAGGGGGTGATACTGATCCTGTGAGGACTTTTGGTGACTGCTGAATTATGTAGATGAGAATCCCATCTGCTTGCTTGCCGACCCAGATAGTACTTCAACATTCCTCTAGCTTCCTGCCTTTGCAAATGAGATGGAATGGAGGAAAGGAAGGGAGGGAAAGGAGGGAGAGAGAAACAGGAGTACCTTTGCCCTTGCTGATGAGATTCTACTTTCAAGTAGGAAATTTCTGGACTCACATGGAGATGATGCCCAGTTTACGTCTGTCCACCACCCCAGTTCCCTTGGGCAATGCAAATACACCAACAGTTGCCCAAAGACTTGAGTAAAACGGAATTTTCCCTTTCCTCAATATTTGCACATCTTGGTCACTCCTTAGGACTTGAGTATTTGCCACCGATGTTCTAGGGAGAAGGGACTGAAGACAGGACTTGTGTTCTTTAACCTAGATTTTTTAATATGTGGAGAAATATGTATCTAGACATAGGACAAGAAAGTCATCTCTTTTAGAAGTGTTCACTTGAGGACGGTTTCTGATCTGTCTGGTAAAAGCTCCTGGAGATCCAAACTGGGCTAGGTGATCATGTGTCCTTTCCTTTCCCAGGGAAAAGCCAACAGGGATCCTGGCAGGAGGATAGCAGTAGGGTGGACCACGGACCCCAGCAGCCCTGTAGTCCTCTCTCCTGCACCACTGACCATTTCCAGAATACAGTTAAAATGAAAAGACTCTATTTGGACTATGATTGTCCTATAACAGATGTTTTATAAAATGAGAAATGCTTTTAAAACATATCATCCCATCTTTTTACTTTATAATTAAATATGGGGCCCAGAAGACCTTCTCAAACTCCAAACACCCAAGTGCCACATCCCCACCCTATTGCTCTGAGAGGGAAGAAACCAGTTGGATGATTTTAAGGGGGTCCTAAGAAGCAAGCTCTTCCTAGATCCTGATTGATCATTCCATGCCAAGAAAAAAGCACTCCCCTATTTGCTCCTCCCCCAGCCATGGATTTCAATGTGCCTCTGACTGAAATCCAGACGCAGTATTTCAAAAGTTGCTGGTGTAGTTCCAAATAGGTCACCCTCAGCAAACATTCCACTCTGGGCTTTCCAGAAACCACACATCAGAGTATAAAAGTTTCCCTGCCCTCATTTTACCTACTCGCCTCTAACCACAGAACCAGATTGAAATGCTGGCAGAAGCTGAGGCCTTTCGACCTCTAACACTTGGTTCCATGAGTTCCCTGGGATTTCTGTAGATTGCCTGGCTTTGAGGCTGTTGTTTTTGTGCTTTGTTTTTCCACTGCTCTGAATTAATTGAGATGTCTTGGTTAAGAGATCAAGGTCTATGCATACCAGAGCTCCCTGGAAATAGAGGCAGGAGTCTGGCAGTCTCTTGAATAGTGTCTGATGTGACCATCTCTGGCCCGTCAGAGCAGAAAGCAAAGCATGCTTTCTACCTAGCAAAGCAGCAACATGTCCTCCCCCAGTGGTGGTCAGCTACCAGATCAGATGGTGGTAGGCTTCAGAGCATTCTAAAGAACAGGCTGTTTCCCAGGGTCATGGTCCCACGCAGACTTCTAAGGTCCATATTAAAATGGAGTCATGGGACTGGAGAGATGCCTCAGTAGTTAAGAGCAGTGGCTGCTCCTGCAGAGGACCTGGGTTCAAATCCCAGCACCCACATTGGCAGTTAACAACCACCTGTAACTCCAGTTCCAGGGGATCCAACGCCCTCTTCTGACTTCCATGGGCACTGCACAACATGCATGCACTTACATGCAGGCAAAACACTCATTTATATAAAATAAAAATAATAAAGTATTAAAAAATAAAATAAAATGGAATCATGAGGAATGGTCATATGTTATCAGCTACACGTTCTGCTTGCTCCAGTCTAGGAATGGGGAAACTTTTTGTGCAAGATGTTCTTATTTGTGATTTAAAACATACCAAAAATATCTAGACAGGATGAGGGCCTCTAGAGGAAGTCCAGTTTCCGGAGCATACAAATAATTCACTCCTGCCTACACCAACCCCCAGGTGGGTATCTTAAAGCCATTTACCAAAGTCCTCTGGCTCCTGAAAATACTCAGCAAATGCCAGAGGGTGGAAAGGATTTAGGTAAGACATAGAATTCCCCTTTAGAGTATTTTTTTTTCAGTCCAGCAAATTACAAACCCAGCTTTCCTGTGTGGCTCTTACCACAACCTCCATGCCCGGACATTGCTCTTCTCTCTGCTAAACAGAGCTGGCACAAAGGAAAGAGGAACCAAGCATTACCTGAACAAGGTAGACAGACAGTGCTTGGGCCAGGAAGCGGCAGAGTGGAAACGCTAACATCTTCTAAGGACCTGTATCTGGCTGTTTAGAGCACGCCCAATAGAATGTGCTGTGAAAGAGAAAGTTCAGGGTGTGAAATTAGCGCCTAATTACTCGGAGGTGAATGTACAGGAAATCATTTTCCTCTCAACTGCCCAAAACTGTATAGAGTATAAGCTACCTATCAAACTTGGGGTTTAGGACCCTCTCCTCACAGCAAATCTTGTCACTGAGCGCTCTGCCATGACTTCCTAGATACCCATCAAATTTGTTTCTCATGTGTTTCAAGAAGAAAGAAGTACCAAGAAAGTTATCTGTCACTTTCTTTGCAAAGTTTGTCATGTGCTTTCCCATAACCTTTGCAAGTAGCCTGTCAGCAGCCCCTCTCTGAGGAGAATGTTCATTTGTGTTGACTGAGCTGCTAGCTGAGTGGAACAGGGTCCTTTGCTACCAACTAATGTTCACTGTTAATTCTGCTTCTCCCTGAACCTCTTTGAGACAAGTTCTCCAGCACTTGAGATCTTTCCTCTATAGCCATCTACGTCCTTGTCATGACTGATTTGGGAGACCACCTTCATCACAGGACAGACTTAGAAGCCAATCTCAATTACATCCAAATGAAATAGCCACTAGTCATTCTTAGTCTTCACGGAACCTTAGGATTCTGATTTCATGACTCCCCAGAGTACCAAGGCAAAACTCTTTCAGAGTATCTGAAATTAGAGACTATCATGAAATTAGAGATTTTCCTGAAATCAGAGACTGTCACATTCAAGGCTTGATAACCTGTGGGCCAAATGTTTTAATCTGAAGAGCCAAAGCTGCACAACCCAGCCGCTCTTCAGGCAGAAGCTTATTGCAGGCACTTACGCTGTTTGCAACTCACAGTGGTGATTGCTGTGAGTGATTCCCAGCTGCCATCTTGCCCAGGCCCCTCTGGACCAGTGTTCATGTCTGAGTCGGGCAATGAGCTAGCTTGAATACCAGAGCTTTCCAGAACCATGCTGTATGGACACGCTCCAACAAATGGCAGAGTAGACCAGTCCCTGGAAACCCCAGCTTATGCTGTGAGGGAGAAACCACCCTGGGGTCCTAAAGCCTGTGTACTAGGCAAGGACCAGAAGCTTGCTTGCTGACCTAAGCCTTAAGGTCAGTTTGGGTGTGAAATGGAAGATCATCTCTTTAGGAAGTCATCTAGCAAATACATGCTGAGTCCCTGCTGAGTGTAGACACCTGCTCAGCCCTAGAGATGGGGAGCAAGGCCCAGCCCCTACATGGGGAAGCCTGCCTGTCTAGCTTTTGGCAAGGGAAGATCAATTTTGAGTAAGTGGCTTCCAGAAGGAAAAATAGAGCAAGAAAGAATCACTTCTCTATATCATAAGTATGGGAGATATGAGAAAACAGGGCTGTGCCTGCAAACAGTGGCAAATCCTTCTGAGAGGTAAGGAAGCCAATTGTAATTAGATGTATTTTTTTCTATTACTTAAATTGAAACAGCTAATTGAATCCTTAATTAATGGCTTTAAACTACCTTGGGATCTGAAGTGCCAGCGGGTTATTCTAAGTGCTAAATATGACTGCGGAGGCCCAAGGAGCAGTGTGCTTGTATGTTGACTCTGGAATATGGGAAGAGTCTCATGCTGTGAGTAAAAAGTCATTTCAAACGCAACCAGCAGTGTTAAAAGGAGCTTCCTCCCCTTTGTTTCCCCCCAAGGTTTTCCATTTGGCCTCTATTAAAACACTCATCCTGATTTACTCTCTATCACCCTGGATTATGCCCCCAGATGTTTAAGTTTCTTTGGTGGGAAAAGCTTGTTTGAAAAAGAAGCTACTCAGTTTTGGGCTCATCCGTAAAATATCTAGCTGATTGAGTGCAGGCTATAAGCAATAATGAAAATCCCCTTGACAGGGGTTTGGGGCCAGGGATGGAGTATTTTCATCTTTAAAGCCTTTGAAGTTATAAAGGAACAGATAAAACTATGTTTGGAGGCAGCCAAGCCAAGAACAAGGTCTGCAAAACCCCACTTAATGACTGTCTGCTGATTTCTGCTCCTACTGAGGAAGGAGCACATCTTAAGCAGGTGTTTCCCACCCTCCACCTTCTTCTGCCTCTTCACAGTAAGTCAGGAAGAAGGCCCTTAGTGACAGCACATGAATTTAGTAGCCAAAAGATGGCTCAAACATGGTACGTCACTTAGAGGTAGAAGGGGGCCTCCTCTTAAATTCCTAGGGAGTCCTCGGAAGTCTGCATTAAAGATCTTGGTGTTCTGAAGAGTCAGAAAATTTTATTAGGTCATTATCTGGCTGGGTAACATCTCTTTGATTCAAGCAGAGAGTTTTCACATCTGGGAAATTTTTTAATGTCTTTTTATTACACAGATGTTCACATCTGTAGACCTTCCCTTATGTGGAGTTGTTTTCCTTCCCCTTGATAAAGCTCTTGGCTTGCCCTACAAAACAAATCTGCGATGGTCTTAAGCCAGCTCATGACAGATGTAAACTCTCTAGAGACCACTATTTTTTATTTTACCCTCTTTATATTCATGTTTGGAAACATTTATTAGTATTTATGTGAGTGGGTTCAGAGAATATGTTTGGTAAAATAAATTTATTCATGTTAGTGGAGAGAAGACTACATTATAGAATCATTTACCGATCTATAAAAATATAATCTTGCAGATGTTATTTTAAAATGCATTTGGTTTTCTGATGTTCCTCTTGTTTTCAGTTAAATGGAAGACATAATGATATTGAAATCTGTGAGCTCAGAATGCCCAGGTTACACAGTCATCCCTCCATATCCATGGGGGAGGCAGTTCCCAGACCCCTCAGATATACCAAAACCCATGGATACTCAAGTCCTTTGTACAAAATGGCACACTATCCTACAGTCACCCACACGTACTTTAGACCATCTCTAGATGACTTATAATACCTAACAGTGTAAATGCTATGTGGTGGTTGTACTGTATTACTTAGGAAATAATGACTTTGAAAAAAATATGTACATTTTCAGTAGAGATGTAGTGACCTTTTTCAAATATTTTGGACCCACAGTTGGTTCAAATCACAGATTCAGAAGCCTCAAGTATGAAGGGCCAACTGTAACCAGCCACATTTTTAAAAAGAGAAATGTGACTCTCGGTTTTGAGGACCCTCAGTCATGGCCACACAGCCGAGATCCAAGCCCTGGCTCCCTGAATTCCAAGGACTCCTTGAATCTCACTTCCTCAGTAGTCAGGCCTTGCATCATCCTGGGCACCCTGGGGTGAGGTTTGAGGCAGAAGTCCTTGAATCCCTGTGTGCCATGCAAGGGATGAGTGGTGTCTTGGATGCTTCAACACCACTGCTTTCCCTGGGACCACCAGTATCAGGAATACTGTCGGATTATGGGATTCATCCTCAAAACAGCACCGGAAGTAAGCATCTGGATGCTGCAGAAGGAAGTTCTTCTCATGATATGGACAAGTTTCCCCAGTATAGGAAACAAGTACTATAGGGCTAGGAGAAGTGAAGATCAGTGGAGTAGAGTGGTTACTGACATAGACTTAACTCCCAGCTTAGTCTTTAGTAAGCTGACCTTGTACACATGCCTCAGTTTCCTCATCTGTGCAATGGGAATAATAGTGATACCTCATCAAGTTCTTGTAAGAATGGAATGAGTTAGTAGATACATAAACTCCTGGAAGCAGTGCTTGGCTCACAGTAAGTACCACGCAGCATTGGCTGCTGTCTCCAGGCAGGATAACCTGTATGACTTCCTCTCTCCCAGTGCCTAGCCCCTCCTGTAATGGTTTTGACAACACTCTTTCAAGACCCTGCCGAGTGCCCCTAGGAAAGGAAGTCTGCTTCATCGCCACTGTGCGTCTGGCAACACCACAGTTCTTAAAGGCAAGTTCCCGACAGCAGTGTCATTGTGTGAACCTATTTCAATGGAGTCCCATTTGGTTATATGCCATAATTGTCTTTATGAGAAAGAATAAAACCACAATGAAGTCCCTAGTTTTCAAAAATCTAAACCTCTCGGTTTTGTGCCTGCTGTACATGTCCTATCCCAAGCCCCAGGTTCCTATGAGTTATTTTGTTTGAAGACAGCACCAATCGCCGTTCAGGCCACAAACATGCTGTTTGATAACTGTAAGTCTTCCTGTCTTTTGCACCAAAATTACACCACTCAGAGGAGTCATGGCTCTCAAAAATGCGAGCATTCATTGTATTTTCTCCTCTGGTTACACTTGACTTCTCTGGCACAAATGTGGATGAAATTAACTTAGTAATTCAAATTCAGATGAAAGGTCATCTTCCACATGATTACCACATTTTCAGATAATGGGAAGGGAGTGGTGGGACATTTTGGTTCCTAGGTAATTTCCCCCAGTTTGTGAAATAAATTTAGTATCAGCTAATGCTGAAATTAACTACAGATGACAAATTTCAGTCCAACATGACTTGGAGACTGACTCACAACAATTTTGACTTCTGTTACCCACCATGTATTCCTTTTGAACAAACCTAGGGTGAGCATCTGGCACCCCCAAGCAACGTTCTGGTTTTTCTCCCTTCCAATACAGGAAATGTGCATAGTTGACGAACCTTTAGAGGAATTCACTTCAAGGCATAGCTTGGAATGGAAATTTTTATTTCTGGATCACAGGTTTGTGAAAAGAAAAACATATTTGAGTTGGGTCCCTTTCAAGTGCTATTTGCATGAACCAGGCTCTGCTTGGGAGTAAAGTCCAGCCTGGTCCACTGAAGGGGAAGGAGTCCCCAGCAGTAGGAAAGGTCGTTCACAGCCAAGGGGGACCTGGAGATTCTTCCATCCCTGTCTGCCCCATTTGTGCTTAAGTTCTGTGTTCAGGTTGCTGTCTCAGCCCCAGGACATCTTTGGGATGTTCCCAACTTAGGCCATTTCCATTTCCTGTATGGCAAAAGCAGATGTAGGGGAAGAGCCCTCTCTGATTTCTCCTGAAGCCCTTTAATTCTCCAGCACACTCTTCCTGCTTTTTTTCATAGCAGCCATCATAGTTTAAGAATTAGCAACCTCACCTCCCCGCCCTTTAATTTTTCATTACATCTGGCCACCGGACTACCCCATCTATGACTGTTTTTAATTATTCACTATCAATAATTTTTTAATATCTTTTGGCTTGGGTTATGCCAAGGGAATGGGGTGCCTAAGTGCCAAAATAAATGGAGTTCTTTGAAAAATATGGGCTCTCTGGTCCTGACCATTGTTACGTTTCTCTCCCGTCTTGAGAAATGAAGCCTCCGTGTGAACCACGAAACACTCAAACTGTCACAGACCCCCGCTTTGAACATTGCAGCCAACCTGTGAGTCCTGCCTTCCTCTCATGAAGAATTCTCTTTGTCCTCCTGCAGAGCTCCTCCCATCATAGGATACCTGCCTTTTGAAGTCCTTGGCACCTCAGGCTATGACTACTATCACATTGATGACCTGGAGCTCCTGGCCAGGTGCCACCAACACCGTGAGTACCGCTCACCAGCCCAGACAGGGGCTTGTACTTGCTTTACAAGGGTACAAGCAGCAGGACTCTAGGCCTCTGGAAGCCTGCTTACAACTTGACTTCTTTGCAAGCAGGGGAGGGCTTTGTTTGCAGTGCAGTGATCATGGGGGTATGATGGGGGTTCTTTTCTGCATTTACCCCAGTATATACTACTTTCACTCAGAGTTGGCTTTGCCCCAGTTCCCAGCATCTTCCCACTGTCATCCAGATAAACATGTTCTTTAATCCTAATCAAGAAATTAAGTCAGGGCTAGAATTTCCTTTAGGTTATACAATACATTTGAAAGATAAAATATCAAATACACATACCCTTTCTTTAATCAGCAGATAGGTATGGTTTCCAAGTACAGGACCAATACTGGGCTTCCCTTTTCCTCAGATACAACCTTCTTAAGGCAATGGCTTGCTAGCCTGAGTTTCCTAGTAAGAGTTCCCTTAGGCCTTTGTCCAAGAGATGCCAATATGCATGACCAGCATCTCTTTGCTGCCCTCCAGGGCAGAGTGTACTGAGAAATCAAGAAATCGGAGACTACAAAATGATGGTGGTATGTGGAAGTGGGTGTGTGTAGGATCTTGAGGGATCAGGGGACCTCTTCATAGAAGATGAAAGGGATTAGAGAAGGCTCTGTGCCACAGAAGAGGGGAGCACTGTGGCAAACACATGTACTGTAGGCCTTGTGCTGTGGGAGACTGAGAATATAAGCTTCAGTCTCCTCTTCTCATTTCACAAAGGGAGTTAAGAATTAACCACTCAGCCATATTTTAAGTGCCAGTGCTCAGCTTTGAACAAGAACATTTGTCCTAACACTGACCTATGGATCTGCAGTAGATGCCTTGTCTACAGTGGCTGCTGGAACTTTCTTCTCTGTGCTGTTCTTGTTGAAGGAAAAACAGGCTTGGGTTCTAGCCAGTCAGAATTTGGAACATAAGGTTCATCTCTAAAACATTAACCCCTTGCTCCTCAAAATGTAGTCCATATCCAGCTGCATAAACACCAGGTGTGCTATCCTTGTAGACGCTCAGGCTCCCTCCACCAGAGATAAGGAACGAGAAAATCCATTTTTACAAGCTCCCCAGCTGATTGGTAAGCACACTCAAATTTGAGAAGCATGAAGGCTTTAAACCCTTGGCTGCCTCTGACTCTTCTAACACTGAGAAGCCACTCGGTTGGAGACTTACACTTGGCATCTGGTGAACTTGTCCATGACTTGGGCAAGGCATTCTCGCTTTGTGGAGTCAGTGCCTCCACTCTGCTGAGCTCTGGCTATGCACCTCCAAGGCTGCTTTGGTAGCTTCAGTTTCCTAGGTTAGATTTCCCTCGACTGCTTACATTAAGAGATGCTAAATTGCAGGCACCGTGGTAATAAAATTCAAATTGTTCTTCTTTCTTGGATCCATAATTTATTCTTCTGCTTTGTAAGAGCTAATAAACCATTATCATCTTTAGTCTCTGGATACTCTTCCCAGAGGAGCTGTCTACATACATAACCATAGGGGCTCCAGAGAGCTGTACAGCTGCAGTGGATTGGACTGCAGGGGAGGCCTGGGCTGCGACATCCATATCAGACTCTGTAGTCTATTTTTTTTTTGCTTTATTTTTTTTCTATGTGTATGAGTATATTGCTTGCATGTATGCAAGTGTACCCATATCATGCAATGCCCACAGAGGACAGAAGTTACAGACAGTTGTTAGCTGCCATGTGGGTACTGGGATTCGAACCCAGGTCTTCTGCAAGAACAGCCAGTGCTCTTAACCACTGAGCCATCCTACAGCTCCCAGCCCCAACCTCTGTATTCTAGAACTCTATAGACTGAGGCTCACGTGCTGAGTGACAGCCACAGAATCCGCCCATCAGTTGCTGGCTGTCAGATCTATTTTGGGCCCATTACTCCCAGTGTCTGGATGTTCCCTTCTCTGCTCAACTCTTGCAACTCCAAAGACAGTTCACCTGCAGCAGGAATATGAGCCCCAAGAAAACCAGGTCCTCTTTATAATTAAACCCCCAGCATGAAAATCTGTCCCTGCGTGCCCTTGTGTGAAGAACTTTCTAAGTCCTTGAGCATTTGGGAAAGTATGGGGATGGTTGTGTTAAGAATTCATCAGTTTGGCTGAGTGTGACTGAGAGTACTTGCCCAATATACACAAGGCCTCAAGCTCAAGCCTCAGCACCCTACACCCAAAAATGTCAGTGTGTGACAGTCACTTAAAACAGTGCAACTCAGGAACTAAGCCACGTTTGCTGCTGTCTTTTTGAATGTTTACATTTTAGTAGTAACCACCGCGAAAAAGGTCATTTTCACATTAACATGTGTTACATGCAAAATCCATTCTCTACTCATAGTGATGCAGTTTGGCAAAGGGAAGTCGTGTTGCTACCGGTTTCTGACCAAAGGGCAGCAGTGGATTTGGCTGCAGACCCACTACTACATCACCTACCACCAGTGGAACTCCAAACCCGAGTTCATCGTGTGCACACACTCAGTGGTCAGGTACCCTGTGGGCGGTCTCTGGAAGGGTGGGTGAGGTCTCTAAAGACATGGGAGGATCAGCAGGTATGGCCTGTATAGGAGGAGAAGCCTCCGCTGTTATCTAGAGTGAGCAGGACACTCAGATGCTCAGGGACGCATCCAGCTCTCTCCCCCCAGGGTTAAGACGTCCTCTGAGTTTCTTAGGCGGCCCTTTGAAAGCCTTGGGAACTCTTTGACTGCCAGGATATTGCTTAGTAAGTTCCTGCTTCACTGACCTACTTACATATTTTTCCCTCATCTCTATCCATCCCCCAGCTTTCCCTTGTTGCTGTTTTTGAGAAGAAAATTAAAACGTTGCCTCTAAATAACTCAAATGCGTACTCCTTTTTTAATGCTTTAAAAACCCCTGCTGGCAACTGAGGCAGCATTGGAAGATCAGCCAAGCTGGCTGTAGGAAAGTGTCCCTGTGGGTCCTGGGTGGCCTTGCAGAGCCCTCAGCTCAGGCTAACCAGGGATCCAAAGGGTGGAAGGATGTTCATTAGGGTATATAGGTGCATCCTATCTGAGGTCCCAACTCTCAGAGGTAAAGGAAAAACATGATTTACTCCTCCACCCTGCTGCGGAAATGGCAAGGATACAAGTCAGCTTGAAGCTGGATTACAAAGGAGGCTTTGTGGTCAGCATGGTGGCACACAACTGTAACCTTAGCACTGAGGCAGGAGGATCTCAACTGTGAGGCCAGTCTGGGCTCCAGAGTAAGACCCTGACTCAAAAAAAAAAAAAGTCAGAGAGAGAGAGAGAGAGAGAGAGAGAGAGAGAGAGAGTTTCAAAAATAAAATAGCCCTATATATCAACTTCTTTTTGTATTCATGTATTTGACTGGCCACTGACAGAAAACATTTTAAATTGCATTTATACCGAACATGTACAAACATTTTTCCTTCTCGCTCTTCCCTAAAGAACACAGCATACCAACTATGTGCATAGCATTACATTGTATCAAATGTTATAAGGAAGCTAGAGCAGACTTAAAGCCTGTGGGAGGGTGATTTGTAAATACCACCCTTCTTTTTTCACCAGTGATAATTAATTGTCAGTAGCACACACTGCTAATAGTACCCTGGAAGGGACTCAAACATTTGTGGATTTTAGTAACCAAAGGGGATCCTGAAACTGGTCTTCCACAGACACTGAGGGATGATATAAATAACAGATAAATAAAGATGGGCACACACCTATACATATATAATAGTCAGCCAGTCAATCAACTCTTGCTTAGTGCATAAAGAGAGGAAAAGAAGGATATAATCTTTTCTCAGCCAATAACCCTAATCCCATTTTATCACATTATGCCCAAGTTCAGAAAGTTGCTATCTATTTCCAACTCATGCCCTGGGACTTCAGCAGTCAGTGATTTGTTGCGTCATAGCCAATCACCCACTGCCTTGCAGCCTGAGTCTTTTCCATAGGGTCCCTCTGCCCCCAAGGGGAAAAGGCTGGACATCGTCCATACCTTGCTCTTCAGGCTTAACTTTGAGTTGCCTTTCTCCTCCCTCTCCCAAACTGTGGGAAAAACTGACCCAAAGACCATGGAGGTGGGAACTGAGTGAATAAATAAGGTGCCAAACACTCCAACATCTCGTCCTAGTCTGCTCTCCATCCTGTAGTTCCATATGGGAGGCAAAGGCAGGGTCACTGTCATCACCACCCTGTGTCACTTTACCCATGGTAGTGACAAAGTGGGTCCCTAGATTCAGCAGTGGTCTGGGTCTGGCTATTTCTAGGTTTGTTTGAGGGAAAATGTCTTGAGAAATGTCATTCAACTTACTGGGAAAGTTTTATGTCCATGTCCCACATACACCTCCAGAATGAGCATGTTTTAAGAAGCGCTTCTAATTATTTACAGGCAGAAGCCTATCCACAGATGAAAGTACATTTTAAATACTACATCTGAAGAGTTCAGGAAAGGGTTGAGAATAGTAAAGTGGGTAATAAAAACATCTTGGACATGAAGATATCTTGAGAATAACATTAGAATCTCTGCAATGGCCTCAAGCAGGGAATGAACCTCAGTGCTCTAAGCAGCCACACCTTGGGCTCCACGCCTTGGGCTCCTTTGTGTTGCCTATTCTGCGAGTGGGTGTTCCACGGAGAGCCCCGTGTCCCTGTTTGAGTATTGTCGTCCTGGAATGGTCCAGCTCCACTGTGGTCGTCTCTTTTCTGAGCAGTTATGCAGATGTCCGGGTGGAAAGAAGGCAGGAGCTGGCTTTGGAAGACCAACCGACAGAGGTCGTGCGCCCCTCAGCACTGAAGGTAAGCTCATCCCTTCCCAGAGAGTAAAAGCAAAGAAGAGCTAGGTTCAGCCTTCTTTGAATGTTATGATAAACACTGGCACGGTAAGAGTAGAGCCCTTCACCTTTACTAAGTGTTTGGGGGTGTTTTCTTATTAACCCTTGACAGTCCTCTGAGGTGGATGCCATGTGTCTTCATTCCTCAAATGAGTGAAGCAGCACAGGTCCCCAAAGGCACTCTTGAAAAGCTGACTCAGAGACAGCCTCTGGACTCCAGGAATGGCTTGGCAACTTCCCAGCTTTCCAACAATAAATAGCTATAAAAAACCCACTTTGCATTTCTCCCACAGATAAAATGCTGGGGAATAATTCCGTTACCCACTACAGTATTGAATAATTCAAGGGCACCTGTTCCCTCTCTTAGTCTGAGTGTCGCTGTATTGTCTCCAAGTTCTGGGCATCCTATAGATAAACTGCCCCTAGTAGGCATTCACATTGTTTTTGTTTTTGTTTAGTAGTGCTGGGGACAGGATCTATGCAAAGCATGTGCTCTCCCACTGACCTATATCCCAGCCCCTCCATGGTGTTTGATTCTACACCATAGGGCCTTAGTTAATAACCATGTTGGTGTCAACTTTATATATTGTAAAAAGGTCTTTCAGTTCACAAAGCCCATTCCCTCCATCCTTCCCCTGCCCTGAATTCTCTGGTTACATCTGGCCAGGTTTTCCTCAGACAATGCCAAGGCACCGAGGAGATCATCTACAAGAAGACCAGAGCCCTATTTCTCAAAGGTGCTTCTTAAAGTAGACACACAAATGTTTGAAGACAAAGAGAATGCAAGAAAGGAAAGACTGCTGCCTTTCATTAAAGCCAACAAGCTATTCACTGGAAGAGCCAGTGTTATTTTAAGAAAGAGGAAATGCTGCCAATTAGTCTATGAAATAAGGATTTCTTTCATCAATTGTAGGACACAACGCTTTCTCAGCTATGTTAAACTGTAGGTGAATGCCACTTGAAAGTAAAGAATTTCAGGTTCTAAGGTGTCCAGCAATCTAGAACTCAGTCTGGCCAGAGGCTTTACAGCACTATGGCTCAATTTTTCAGCCTGTCTGTGATCAAGCAGAAGCATCTCTCATCCCTCGAGGTTGAAGTCGGGAGGAGAAATCATCTTTAAAGATCAGAGAGCAGTCAGTGTCTACAGAGGCTCACCCGCTGCCATGCTGTGTGGGTTATACGGTGATTCATCACCTGCACGCTGACATGACACAGGTGCCATTGCTTAGGGAAGTGTCTGTTACCCAGCTTGGTCGCACAACACACCATGCATCACGTCAGAGAATGGAATTCAGCTGCTAATAGGCAGATGTCAGACATACCATACATCACTGCTGAAGAACAGGTATAATGGTTATATACTATTCAATCTGAAACTCATCGCTCAGGTTTCTGATCTTTTGGGAATCCTAAGTCCAACTGAGTGCCCTCCCATAAAAATACACATATTCATCAACAAACAAATACAATCTTGGGCACTGGGTTCAAAACCCCTTTTAAAATAGAAGCTCTGGGACAAAGATCTCACTGTTTGTGGTGATGGATTGACTTGTTTTTTAAATTTGAATCTGTCACTAACTGACACGTTTGCAAAATGCAGATTAGCTTGCTTTGCTGTGATTTTCAGTGATGCCAAATGCCTGTGAAAGGGTCTCAGTACTCAACCTCACTTCACTGATTTCTCTACTGAGCAAGAACACACCATTCACAAGGGGCCAGGTACCCTCAGAGGGGGCTTATTTAAAGTGATTGTCACTAAGCAGCAGTTTCACGGCTAACATTTCCCATCACACTGGCAGGCACATCCCGTCATTCTGTTTTGCACAAAGGCCTGTAGATTGCATGCAAATCACTTCAATTCTCTTTGAGCATATACACATGCATACATGTACCCATGTGCATACATATACGGTAGCAGCATATACCCTCAACTAGAGCCATGACTCCAAAGATAGTCTAGCATGTGGGCTCACATACATGAGATTACATACCTGACCGAGACTGTGACCATAGTCCAGTGGATACTGGCAATTTCCACCTTTCTGGGAGGGCACAGGTCTTAGGAGAATTATGACAATGTTTTCTTCAGCTTAAAAATGCATCATAATCCATATTTTCATACAACTATGCCACGTAAGCCATCAAGGAAGGATGAGAGCCAGACTACTATGGTTGCTTTCTCATCATGAGATGAGATGTTTAAGGTAGAAATAAATGTCCTGGAAGCCAGGGTTAATGAAGAGTTAGAGGTCAAAAGGTAGGAGACCACCAGCCCCTTGGCCATACAGAGAGCCAGCCATGTGAGGCAATGTGGGAAGGGTCCTGGGACAGCCCAAAGACACTTGTCTTATCAGCTATGTTAACAGTCCAGTGTTGACATCACCTTATGTCTTCCTGATCTTTGTCTTCTCAGAAAGCCAAAATTCTGGCTGATGAGGTGGCAATTTAAAGGAAAAACGAGAATGCAAAGTTAGTGGGAAAAAATCTGGAAAAAGAAACAAAATAAAAGGTGAGAAGGTCTAAATAAATGCAATTTATAAGATGCCAGCCTCTCAGCGCTATCTAGGCAACACATGCTATTTGCTCTACCCACACAACTTTAGAAATGTCCCCAAACAGCTACAGTATTCTCAGCAGCTTCCAAATTCTTCTACATACTTAAATCTAAAGTCATGTCATGTCATTTATTCATGGACTCTTAATGCTGAAACATGCTCTCTTTCTCTCTCACATATGTGTCTCTCTGTGTGTCTATGTGTCTGTGTGTGTCTGTGTGTGTGTGTGTGTGTTTTTCAGGACAAGGACTCAAGCCTGGAACCTCAGCAGCACTTTAATGCACTTGACATAGGCGCCTCGGGTCTCACCACCAGTCCTTCACCGTCAGTGTCCTCAAGGAGTTCCCATAAATCCTCACACACAGCTATGTCAGAACCCACCTGTGAGTGCCATTCTATGAATGGATGGGTGGTGGATGGGAGCCCCATCAGACCCAGGGACTCAGAGTCCCATGAAGGATCCAAGACTGAGCTGGGCCAGGTCATCTGTACCCAGAAAGCAGAAGGGGTCCTACGGTGTCTGCTCCTTGTTTCACTCCTCACTGACCTCCTGCATTCCCATCCCCTGTCTACACTCTGGCAGTGACAGCAACACAAAACAGGTGACACACAAGTCAGCTAAGTAAGATGTTTGAGCAGGGCAGTGGTTGGGCCAAGTGGCAGCTATGGAGTCTTCAGGTGACTATGTGTCTTCTGCCTGCTTCCAAGTTGGGCTTTTGTGTCCTGGCTTAAGCATTTCCATGATCGGTGCCTTCCTTCATCAGAGACCTCAGCCAAGCTCTTGAGTCCTGAGCACCAAATCACTGTCCTCTCTTTTGCTGAGCCAGCTGGGAAATATTCCTGAGTCAGGAAGGCCATCCCTTGCTTTCTTACAGCCACTCCAACCAAGCTGATGGCTGAGAACAGCACCACAGCTTTGCCAAGATCAGCCACCCTACCCCAAGAGTTACCAGTTCCAGGACTCAGCCAGGCAACTACGATGCCGGTATGTGTGGGATCCAGATCTTCTCAGCAGGGAAGGTGTGGGCTGTAGGGCCACAGGCACTCACTGAATCTTTCCAGGGAATCAGTTTTACTTAGGAATTGAGGGGACAAGATGGTGGAACAGGGATGGGGCAGACAGGGGTTATGAAGCCACGGTATTTATTTAGCAACTCATTTTGAACATTTTTATCACAAAATGAGCATGGATCTGTGTCTGTAGAATACAAAATTGAAGTGAATTTTAAGGACTGAACTCAAAGCTTCAATCATGAGATTATATTTCCTGAGCCTATGGCTGGGGGTCCTCCTCTTTTGAAACCTGTTCCACATTGGTGACTGTGTTTGGGAAGCTTGGTTTATGTGTCAGGCTGTGGCACTGGTGTATGCCAAACCCCTCCACAATGCCACAGAGTGACAGCCTGTATGCAAAATCATTGACACAGTATTCTGTCTGTGCGGGGACACAGGAGAACCTGAACGAGCATCCAATGGGTGGGCCTTGGTCTGGGACTTCTTTTTTTATATTTTATTTATTATTTTTATTTTATGTGTATGAGTGTATTGCCTGCACATATGTAAGTGTACACATGTTGTGCAATGCCTGTGGAAGTCAGAAGAGAGCATTGGATCCCCTGGAATTGGAGTTTTGAATGCTGTGTGAGTGCTGGGAATCGAACCCGGGTCCTCTGCAAGAGCAGCCAGTGCTCTTAACCACTGAGCCATCTCTCCAGCCCGGGCCGGGACTTCTCAAAGCGCATCTCCCTGCTGTCACTTCCTCTTTCTGCTGTCCTGGGGGATGCTTTCTGCTCAGTCTCCTCTTTACAGCCCCTGGGGACTAGGGAAAGTTTGGGGAGAACTTCAGAAGTCCTTTTAGTTTTCTCCTGAAAACTCTAGCAGCTCATAAAACTAAAGGTCTCATCTCTGCACGTTGCATTCCATCACCCACCCAAGTCACCAGGGAGCAAGGAGCAATTGGCTCACTTCGCAAGAGTCTTCACAGATTCCAAGTGACTTGTGGTATTGCCCTGATCTCCTTTGTCAGGGTGAGGTCCTGGATACACACCTGCACAGCACGTCTGCCCGTCTACACTAGTGTTGAGCAGGAAGGATGAGAGCCGCATACACAAACCCACAGCTGGAAAGGGTACCCGCTAACAGTGTTTGGGGACATGCTGAGAATGAATCAGCCAGGGAGAAGAGCAGCTCAGTCCCCTAAGGATGGCGTCCAGAACAGGCCAGCAGAGGGAAGCGAAGTAAAGCTGCCAAGCTCAGGCAGGTAGCCTTGCCCAACACACATAGTGACAGGAATCATGGACTCTTAGTGTTCCTAGAACTGGTTCAAGAGCTACTTGTATGCCACACCAGCCACAAGTCATTCTAACTACATGCCCTTCACAGGAAGCAGTGCAGCCAGGAAATACAGGTCTTTACCCTAGAACTTGGGGAAAGGTATCTTTTAAGTTGGAGAACCCATCCAACAGAGTCAGCAGTTCGAGTCCCAGGACAGCCCAGAAGCAGTGTTCAACAAAGATTCTTCTCTTCCCAGGCCCCTCTCCCTTCCCCATCATCCTGTGACCTCTCACAGCAGCTCCTGCCTCAGACCATCTTGCAGAGCCCTCCAGCTCCCATGACCCAGGTAAGTCCCAGACTCAGGACAGGGCAGCACTTCCCCTGAGAAGAAAGTGGGACACCCTTGAATTTGTGGATGTTTTTGTGCTGCTATAGATGGCACATGTAAGTACCAAGGCCCTGAGTGGGGGATTTTTCCCCAATGTCTGCAGAGGACATGCCCAGCTATGCCCTTCCTCTACTCCATGTCATACCTGTCCTCAACTGTCACTCATGTCTCCTCCATGTATATTCCCCAAGCTCTTTTCCCTGGTGTCTGATTTTTCATCTTTCTAGCCATCTTTGTTCAACTATCACTTTTCTACATTCCTTTCATTTTTGTATAACTCCAAATGGACTATGATATTTGGGAAGAGGTCTGAATTAGACCAAATGTGACAGAAAGATTTTGGAAGGATCTAGAAGGTATGAATCCAGTGCTATAAATATCGCACTTAATTTTTTTTTTTTTTTGGTCTTTTTGAGACAGGGTCTCCCTGTAGCCCCAGCTGTCCTGGAACTCGCTATGAAGACCAGGCTGGCCCCTGGTCATCAAACACTGGGATTAAAAGCATGCACCACCACGCCTGGCCCTACACTTAATTTTTTATAAAAAAGGGATTACAGCCTTGCTAAGCAATTCTTTGTTTGAATAACACGCAGCGAATTTCTATTTGGGTCAGTTCATGAGTGAGGCATTAGGGATGCGGGGCTGGTTCTAACAGTCCTTGCTTTTGGTATGCAGAGTTAAAGAAAGAAGAGGACAGACTGCCAGAAAACAACACCCATGGTATAGCAGGTGTTTTCACAGAATCAGTAAGGAAACAGTCTGCCTGGGGTGGCTTCCTTAATGAGGTGTCCCTTGAGCTATCCCTTGAAAGGGTGGCTAGGAGATTGGCAAATGAAAGGTGGTTGACAACAGAGAGAGACTCAGGTATGAGTTTTAGGGGAGAGCTGCGAAACACCCCGGCAGACAAGAGGCTGAGTGCAGGACCATCCACTCTTCAGTACAAAGAGCAGTTGTTCAAATTCACTGGCCTTTCCCCTGCTGAGCCTAGAGCTCTGACTTTGGTTCCTTTATGAGAATTTAGTGTTATTCCAATCCCTTGCCACAAACTGAGCCTAGGTCCCAGGTGGCATTTCACCAGCAGCTCCGCTTCTCAGAGTTTGGCTGTCTCTGTTTTTGCGCAGAGCCGTGATGGCTGATGGGAACATTTCAGAACATATGCCCTTGTAGAAGTGGCCTCGGATGCTTTCCTGGAACAAGAAAGACACACGCAAGCATATGCTTCTTGCTAGCGTCTGGCTTGAGTAGTGATATAAAAGCTGTTCAGCCAGAACCTCCTAATTAAAATAGTCCATCGTTAGCCTCATTGGGGAAAAAATCAAAAGAGTACTTTTCCTCTTCAAGTTTCCGAGGCACATTTGGTATGAAATCAGTGATTTATTTCAATCCAAAGGCAGAAGAAATAAGAATTCCTTAAACTTCTGGCCCATGCATCTCAAAAAGTGTCTGTTTATAACACATAGGAGTATAAGGTCCTTTGGGAATTCTAATTTTTCATTTTTTGAACTTGACTGTACCTAATAGTAACTGTCCTTGGTCTGTACTATGCTCTACACTTGATAACAACTGTATTGTTTAAGGCATTCTTGCATAAGACAGGCAGATTGGTTCCTGGACCCCTGGTTCTCAGATACTCAAGTCCCCGTGTAAAATGACGGTGTATTTGCATAGAACCCAAAGTCACTCTGGTGATGAGTGTTTAGTCTAATGTCAGTGCTATACAGACAGCTGTTACATTGTATTGCTCAGTGAGTAGTAACAAGAGAAGCTCTGTACATGTTCAGTACAACACCTTTGAGAAATATTTTCCAGGGCTGGAGAGATAGCTCAATAATTAAGAGTGATTGCTGCTTTTCCAAAGGACCCAAGTTCAGTTCCCAACACCCATGTCAGGAGGTCTGATGCCCTCTTCTGGCCTCCATGGGTACCTATACTCATGAGGCATACACACAAACACATAGACACATGAATTTTTAAAAAATAATAAAATAAATAAAATATTTTCCATGGGAGATTTGTAGATCTTTGCATACAGAAATCTGGCTCTGCTGACTTTCAAGACCCTCTCAGAGCCACTTCAAGTTAAAGGATGAGATTCTGTGATTTCCCTTCATTCCTCTTACTGTCATTGTAGCATCCTATGGGGGGGGAGGGGCGTGTAAATCCAAATCTTGGGATGTAGTTGTCTGGATAACTTGTCATTTTTCTAAAAGCCTCTTTTGCTTCATACTCTTAAGTTAGAGTAAATCTACTTACATAAAAAGGTGACAAGGCTCAGGAGGTGGCTCAATGGTCAGGCATTTACCTACTATGCAAAGGCCCTGGATTCCATCATCAGCACCACACTAGAGGCGGGGGCGGGGGGCACAGGGCTGGCTCCTGATGACTACCCAGCCCCCTGCCATGCCCAGCCAAAGTCAAACAAGTGCCAGCTCTTCTAAAGGTTCGGGTGCAACCCCAAATAATTCCAAACCATGTAGAACCCAGCATAGTAGCTTTGTGCCTTGTTTTTAGATTAAATATCTGATGCAATTTGTTTGCTTCCTCAGTAGAATGTTCCTTCAAAATCCCAGCTTCATGCTTTACTGAGTTACTTTGTGGCAGAAATTTCTGTGGGGCAAGCTGGCCTAAGGCAGGCATTTTTTCCACTCCTTGTGTAGCAGCAAAACCTTCTGTTTAATGAAGTCTAATGCCAAAGTGCCTTTCATTGAGATGGGCCCTGGGGCTGTGGGTGGGTCTTAAAAGGCCTCTTAGCTTCACCCGGAAGGAAGGAAGGAAGGAAGGAAGGAAGGAAGGAAGGAAGGAAGGGAGGGAGGGAGGGAGGGAGGGAGGAATGAAGAAAGAGGGAAAGAGGAAAGGATAAAGAAAGGGAAGGAAATGGGGAAAGGAAAAGGAAGGGAAGGGAAAAAAGAAAGAAGAAAGTGAGCCCCGAGCAGGGGCTGTGTGCCCAAGGAGGGCCACACCTGTATCTCCGTTCCAATATCCTGCAGAGAGGGTACCCTGTCCAGGTGAACACATGAGAGGGAACAGAGATAATTTGTGAGAGTTTTCTAAAGGCAACCTCAGTTTCAGGAAGGGATGCAGGAATCAAAGTCAAGGGCAGACACAAATGATTCCTCTTACAGGGTCCCCTGTAAGCAGGCATCAGGTGGTAATTTTGCACTTCACCTTGGTTCTTTTCTGCATTGGCTAGTGTAATGACCAGTGAGCCTGAGAGAAGGCGTGGAGTGAGGAGGATCCAGGCCTACTAGGAGAGCGCCAGGATCATATTTAGGAGGACTGGACCCAAAGGTGCTGTGAAGGTCCCCTTGCCCTAGATGAGAAAAAAAAAAAAATCAGATACTCTGCTTTTGATCCCATTTTCCAAATCATTTATCCACCTGATGAGCTTTGGACTCTCAGTCCACAAGCATCCTGTAAGCATCATGCTCTGATTTTGTTGGCTGCCTACCTGCAGGGCAGCAGACCTATATACAGGTTCTGGGGAGTGGAGAAGTGGGGGGGCTTGCTGTCATCGTTGGCCTGAGGAAGGTTGGCTGGGGTCCTTTGGGACACTCTGCCCTGGTCCCCAGCCCCTACACACCTCAGAGCCAGACAATGGCTCTTCAGGGATGCTAAGAAGCATGGCTAAGGATCAGGAGCGGGAAGTGTGCAGGGCTGGTCAGAACAGGGTCAAAGCTTGTCTGCCAGGGTGAAATGACTTTGATTTGCTTATGTTTTGAATCCACTTTGAAGTTTTCAGCACAGTTCAGCATGTTCCAGACCATTAAAGACCAGCTGGAGCAGCGGACACGGATCCTGCAGGCCAACATCCGGTGGCAACAGGAAGAGCTGCACAAGATCCAGGAGCAGCTCTGCCTGGTTCAGGACTCCAATGTCCAGGTGATACCTTTACCCAGGCCGGCCCCTGTTCCCTTAGGATCCCCTTCCAGTTAGGCAGGATCTAGCATGCTAAGGAAGTTTCCTAGCATGTGGAAACTTCCACAGGCAGAGTACATGTAGCAAATCCACTCGGTACCAAACCTGAAATTTTCACAATATTCCCTTCTTCACTCCTCATGGGTAAGGCACTTTTCTGTTTTCTGCCCTCCCTGAATTTTTATTCAGGAAAACTGGCATCTGACTGTTCTATGGGGAAGCCACCTGGGTCCTGGATTGTAGCTGTCAGCACCAGTAGGGCATCCCTTTCCTAACACCAAGACCAGGTCACCAGCAGAGGGAGTTGGAGGTACTCTGTTTCCTCTGACAAAGGGTGAAATGGGAAGTCATGTACTAGTTTTGTAGCTTGAAGGGGCAGCAGAGGGAGCTGTGGCTGGTACCAACCTGCCACCTCATTGCTACCCAAATGCACCTCTTAGAATCCGTTTGAAGACTGTTTGATTTAGTTTGAGATTTGTTGGGGGTGAGGGCGGGGGCTCATATATTGAATCTCTCCCAAGAATAGGTTACATGGATTATTTTTACCAGGTTTTACATATTTTAGTTCAGGATTGTTTGTGTTGATAAGTATATCATTTGGGCCTAGCCTGTAATTGCAAATGTAATTGTAGCTAAGCTCAGAGTCCACCCTGAGAGCCCTAGGCATTTGCAGCTACCTAGGAAAGACAGTGGGAGCAGAAGAGACACCTCAGGAAAATAGCCATAGCATCACCCCCACCCCCATCCTTGCCCCCTCCCTTGAGCATCCAGCTCATGAAGCCCCGTAGCACTGGTGACAGGCATACCCCATTGGACGCTCAGGAGCCAGTGCATGGCAGACTTAATTCTGATGGTGTGGTTTAGTTGGTTGGCCAGAAAACTGCTCACCTTTCAGGCATTCTGCCTCCCTGGTGTTCATCAGCTCTACTGTGAGGTGAAAGGGACCCTGGAGTGACCCCTGCTACTCCTTCTCCATCTTGCCCTGGCACAGCACTCTCACCATACAGGAGTCCAGCCTAGTATGGGCCATGGCCTGTGCCTATACCCCAGAGACCCCTCTGTAGCTGTAAGCATTCCTTAGCAAGCTACACCCAGAATCTTTTTGTTCCACCGGCCCCCCAATCCCTACAGGACATGTGTGGACACTGTGGCAATTACATGAAATTTAACAAGGTCATCAAGCTGTCAAATTAGCAAAATAAAACCCTTGTTACTTATTCTTTCCCAAGGGTAGTATTTTTCTCACAGATCCAGAGCCTGGCTCGTAGCCTTGAACTTGGCCCACTTCGATTACTTTAATGGAATTTTTATACTAACAGGAAGGGAGAAATTGAGCTAGAAAGTGCTAAAAGGCAGGGTAGGCGTATGATCAGCCTCCACAGTGCCAGTGCCTGGAGTTTTCTGCTTCCTGCATCTGCAGCATTAGAACTAGATTTTAAAATAACAGACAGCAAAGTTATCGCTTTTGCTCCCAATCGTAAAGTATATGACCTTCCCTCATGAGAGGCACATTTTGTGAGCCTCCAAAGTACATATGCATCTAAGTTCTACAAGGAGCCATGGAAACCAAGCCCTCTAGTGTATGTATTCCTGTGGAAACCACGCCCTCTAGTGTGCCCCTTCCCTATGGAGGCCAACCCCCTCCCCAGTATGCTAAAACGATCCTCTAGCACATACCTTCCCTATAGATGCCAAGCCCTCCAGTGTGCACCTCTCTGTGGAAGCTAAGACCTCTGGTGTTTGTCTCCCTCGTGGAGACTTAGGCCCTCCAGTGCACACCTTCCCAGTGGAAGCTAAGCCCTCTGGTGCACACCTTCCTTGTTCATTCCTCTGACTTATCTTCACAGTGGAATTTTCCAAAGAACATGGAACTTCACAGATAATCAAACCAGAGAACATTTTCTCCAGCAGTCTGCCTTCTTGTTTTTTCACAAGACCTTAAAAAAATGCATTCTAAAAGTCTAACAAAAACTGATTCAAGCATAAAAATAAGCAAGTAAAAATTACTATACCCCCACCACCACCACTAAGAGTGGGAAGACAGCTGAAATCAGAGTAGCAACATATGGGTAATTGTTGAAGCCTGATGTGATATCACATGGCTGTCACTGCCCTGTTTCTCAGTATTGTGCATTTCTGAGATGTCCTGTAATAATAATAATTTGGAAAAGAAAGCATATATGAATAATGAAAAATCACATATAAGTGTAGAGTCTATTTGTTCCTGAATACCTCTCTTACTTGAATTGAGGAGCTATTTGGGGTTCTTTTGTTTGTTTTCTGTAAAACTGACTCCAAGGCCCTTTTGAGAAATCAAGTTCTTTTTTTTTAATGTGTATGAGTATTTTGCCTACATATATGTAAGTGCACCCGTGCGTGCAATGCCCACGAAGGCCAGAAGAGATCGTTGGCTCCTCTGGAACTGGAACTGGAGTTACAGATGGTCACCATGTGGGTGCTGGGAACCAAACCCAGGTTCTCTGCAAGAGCAGCCAGTGCTCTTAACCACTGAGCCATCTCTCCAGCTTCAAGAAGTCAATTTCTTAAGCCATGAAATTCTGCTCTGTTGTTGATTTTAAAAACAGAGGTACGGATATTTGTGTGAAGCTGCAAATCAGAATTCACCACCCAGGATCTTTTACTGCTATTCAGGGGACTTTTTCTATTTTACTTCATTGGCTCAGAGCTTTCAACGGGTGTATATGCTTATGAATTATTTTTTTAAAGTCCTCTGAGACACTTGATGTTTGCTCCCACGTGAATTTGAAGGTTACTCTGAGCCAAGCTATGCTGTTAAGGCAGTGTTCTCGCTCCAGAGAAAAGAAGCCTCTGGCCTTTTCAAAGGAGCATACGCGCCCTCTGCTGGCTATTCTAATGAATGCCCCAAAGGACACCTGTAGCAAAGGCAAATAACATGCTCCTTGATTGGTTCTCTCAAACATCCATCAATCCAGCCAAACAGCTACCTGTTGTGTATTTATCTTGTACAATAGACAAGGATTTTGATTGAGCATTGAGAGGTTGTGAAGATAAATAAAACAAGGGTTTTTTTTAATATTTTATTTTTACTTTATATATGTGAGTGTTTTGCCTGCATGTAAGTGCACCACATGCATGCATTGCCCATGGAGGCCAGAAGAGGGCATCAGATTCCCTGGAACTAGAGTTATGAAGGGTCATTAACTGCCATGTGGGTGCTGGAAACTGAACGTGGATCTTCAGAAAAAGCAGGCAGTGCTCTTAACTGCTAAGCCACCTCTCTGGCCCCATAAAAACAAGTTTTTTGTCCTCAGTGAAAACAGACATAGATGGACAGAGTAGCACACCAAACAGTTGCATAGCACTAACAGAGGCAGTCAGAGCAAAAACCTTCACTCAGTTACTCATTTGTTCAAGTATTTTTCCATCCATTCCTTTATAAGATAATCTTTATATGCCTAAATAGTCAAAGGAGCAAAGATCTTTCATTTTAAAGATATTCTTATCACCTACCATTAATTAAACATTAATTAATTAAGCACCTTGAGCACTTTTCTTTTTTTTTTTTTTTTTTTTTTTGCCATTTTGAGGCAGGGTTCCCTGTAGCCCAGAGTGACCTGGAACTCACTATATAGACCAAGCTGGACTTGAACTGACAGAAACTGACAGAGATCTGCCTGCCTCTGCCTCCCAAGTGATGGGATTAAAGGCCTCATATGAGTCACCATGCCAGGCTACTTTACATTTTTTAATTGTTTTTATTTTATGTGTATGAGCATTTTGTCTGTGTGTGAGTGCACCCATGTGTGCAATGCTGACAGAGGACAGAAGAGGGTATGGAATCTTCTGGAACTGGAATTACAGTTAGTAATCATCACATGGGGTGCTGGGAACTGAACCTGGGCCCACTGCAAGAGCAGCCAGTGCTCATAACTACTGTACCATCTCGCCAACCCCACCTTGAGTTCTTTATATGCATTGACTGTAATCCTTTATGAGGCATATACTGTTGATGTCACTATTGTATGAATGAGGAAACCAAAGCATTGAAAAGTTATAATCATTTCCTGAGATCGTCCTCAGGTGGGATGGCATTTGGAACTCAAGTGTGTCTACTGTAAGGTAAATTAGAATATCTGTCATAAATAAGCCTTGCATTTATTTGACCCTTAATCAGCAGGTAAATCAATTCCTGCAGAAAGGAATATGGTAATTGGGTTTGAGCACGAGGTTGTTCCTGAAATGGTGAGATGTTTTTCAGTGGTGAGCTGTACACAAAGTTCATGCCAAGAAGTAGCTAGAATTGCATGAAAAGCTAATCTTCAAGCATGTAGATCCTGAATCTGAAATGATGGGCACCCGAGAATTCTTCTTAACCTCTAAAGTGACCAAGAGCCTTCATTTCACATCTGCAGGCTTCTGGGCTGGGATGAGGTATGAGAGGATGTTGGAGAGATGAAGGGTAACAGATCAAAACCTTCCAGCCACCTGCTGACCTCAAGCCACTAGTCAATGGCCCAGCTCTATCTATGAGCAAGCCGGCCTCTGAATGGTCCTCCCAGTGTGTGCAGGGTGCAGGTCCACTCCTGCCTCTCCAGATCAACTCCTCTACTCAGTGAATGTGAACTTTCTGCTCTGTGGTGAATGCATTTGGGCTGGGAAGAAGTGCATCCCCCCACTGAAGACCACAAAGCTTAGGTTTAGAATGGAATAGGGTATACGTGGCAGGAGTCATGACAGAGTTTACCAGTGGACATTTTCAATGCCCAAGAGGAGTATGGGCTAAAAGAGGTAGTTATATGCCTTTCACTAAATTATTATTAAGATTACTAAAGCTATTTCTTCAGTATTTAAAGTCAGTCTAGAGGTCCTACTTTTCCTTTAAGTCTACTTTGTTCCTAAAAAAGCCCTGATTTCACTTGGTTTTTTTTTTTTTTCATCCATGTGCATTTACTTGGAAGTTGAACAAACTACAAACAATCCACATTAACTCCAAAAGCCAATATACATGTTTCATGTATCTGAACACAAACCCCAACACAGGAAGTTTAAAAACCTAAGAAATAAAACCTTTTTAAACACTTAACTGTTTGAAATGAGATTCAGTTGCCCTTCAGTGTCCATGAAGATTGATTTCAGGTCCCCACAGATACCAAAATCTGCAGGAGCTCAAGACATTCTGTAAAATGGCATTGCACTGAACAGGCACACATTCTCCTGCATACTTTAAGTCAGAAGTGTCCAACCCACAGCCCAGGATAGCTATGAATAGGGCCCAAGACAAAGTCATCAACTTATTTAAAACATTATGAGATTTTTTTTCACTTTAACTAGATTGCACAGTTCTTGACCTTTAACTTTGTAGGTGACAATGCTGTGTCACAGTGTCACATAAAATAAACATATGTGTGGTCTCACAACCCACTTTGGATACCCTGTGTGGCCCAAGACAATTCATCCATTGTGGCCTTGAAATGCCAAAAGGTTGAATGTTCCCTGCTTTGAATAATCTCTAGGCTGCCTATTATACCTCTGACAATATAAGTGTGATGTAAGTACTTCTAATATACTGTTTATTTAACCTCAAGAAAAAAAATTAGGTGGTTCAGTACAGGTACAATTCTTTCCCAAGTATTTCTGATTCAAGGTTGGATGAGTCTGCAGACATAGAATCTATAGATATGAAGGTCAATTGTATATGGTACAACAGTTTGAACTAAATCAAAAGTCTCATGAACACATAAGCTTTCTTTATAAACATTGTCAGACTCTCTTAAACTAATAACGTATCACAGTCTTAAATGTCTGAGACATCTCAGAGAACAAAATATAATTATAAAACTGACATGTAACTTTAAAGCCTTGATGTTTTGTCATCCTCTGCTCTTATTTTCCTTCCTGGAAGCCTGAATCGCATGCTTACTGGGAGCAGATTTGCCACCTCTGCTGAGAGCACTGTGTTGAAGGCGTATAAATCCTGGTCACTGTGCATATAGATTCAAGGTCAGGCATAGGACCCAATCCTACTTTGAGTATAATGTACCCCACACCATGCATTAGCCGACTCCTTTTCACTATTATGAAATGATTCAGTCCACCCCCATGTTCTCCCTTTTGATAAGAAACGTAAGTAGCCAGGCATGGTGGCACACGTCTTTAATTCCAGCACGCAGGAGACAAAGGCAAGTGGATCTCTGTGAGATTGAGACCAGCCTGGTCTATGTAGCAAGATCCAGGCCAGCTGGAGCTACAGGGAGACAGAGAGAGAGAGAGAGAGGAGAGAGAGAGAGAGAGAGAGAGAGAGAGAGAGAAAGAGAGAGAAAGAGGCCAACTTGAACTTCAGAACTATCTCAACTTACACACGGAGCACCTAAACTGAAGCCTCTTTCACGCTGTCAGACTGCAGTCACTTCACTGTGACTTTTAGGAAGGCAGGGACAATGTCTCCTTGCCCAGTCCTGGGGGCATCATAGACATTCTATCGCCTGCTGAGTCAGGGAACAGTTTCCGGGCATGTCAAGGATTCCAGTGGTCTGCCAGCCATAGGGAAACAAAGAAGGTTCACAGCTGTGATGTACACTACTTCACAGGTACTTTTCTTCTGTTTCCAGATGTTTCTGCAGCAGCCAGCTGTGTCTCTGAGCTTCAGCAGTGCCCAGCGGCCAGAGGCTCAGCAGCAGCTGCAGCAAAGGCCTGCTGCAGCATCTCAGCCCCAGCTTGTGGCCAGCTCTCAACTCCCAGGGCAGATTACCTCCACCCAAGTCACAAACCAGCACCTGCTCAGAGAGTCAAATGTGATCTCCACCCAGGTAGTGTGCCCTTCACAGTCTGTCTTTGCCTCTAAGGTAGACAAACTCTTGTAACCTAAGAGTGTGTACTCTTGGACTCTTGACTCTGCAGGTATTCAGTTCTGGAACATATGCATTGTTCTCTGGATTGAGGAAAGATTATGGTGTTAGGCTGTTCCTTTAAAGTCACCTTGAAGGTTTCAGTTGTATTGGTTTCTCTCTGTATGTTTTGTTCTTTGGTTGTTGTTGTTGTTGTTGTTGTTGTTGTTGTTGTTGTTATTGTTGTGTCTTTGAGACAGGATCTCCCTGTAGCCCCAACTGGCCTGGAACTGACTATGTAGACCAAACTGGCCTCAATCGCACAGAGGTCGGCCTGCCTCTGCCTCTCAAGTGATGGGACTAAAGGTATATGCCACCACTCCTGGCCATGTTCTTGTCCTGAAGATACCATTCAGTTAATACCTTCAGCTTTAATACTGAATTAGAATTGGAGAGACCAGATGTGGTGTACACCTATAATCTCAGCACTTGGGAGGCTGAGGCAGGAGGATTATAAGTTCTAGGCTAACCTGGGCTATGTAGCAAGACCTTATCTCAAGACAAAAGGATCGGGGAAAGAGGGTGTGAGAGGTGAGGGAGCTGGAGATAGAGGAGAGCATCCTAGACATCCACACTGATGGTCATATGTCCCTACACACCTGCCCTCAGTCACCAGCGCATCCTCTTGGTTTTGGCCATTGTCCATGTGAACAGCCACCTCTGTTCATGGTCCCTTGCCCTAGGACTACCTTGCTCATTCAGACTTGTGGCAAAATCCTTCCCTTTCAGTCCCTGCCCCTCATTACAGGCATCAGTGACCTCATAATCTGAGACACCATTGGCAAATGGCACTTGAACGGGGTAGAATTAATTCCTGAAGCCCTTTTTCTGGGAGATCACAGCCTAGAGGCAGAATACTGCCTCTCCTGAAGCCTTCACAATCACACAGCTCCCTGGGCCTCCAGTGTGTATATGCTGAGCATCTGTTCACTGGGGAGCAGCCATGAACCAGAGGGGTCCTTGACCACAAGGAGCTCCTAGTCTAGTAGAAAATCTGGGAACTTGGCCAGATAGCAGACAGTGCGTGACATAAGTAAAGGCACTTCTCCACATCTGCAGAGGATGGGCTCAGAACCACACACAGATGCCAAGACCTGAGGATATTCAAGCCCCTTTTATAAAATGGCACAGTATTTGCACGGGGCTGCACACATTTTCCTATAGACTATGTTTCCTTATTCATTTATGTATTTACTGGTGCTGGGTTCGGACCCAGGGCTTCTCACATGCCATGGGAGCACTCTTCACTACATCCTTGACCCCTTCATACATGAGCTCATCTCTAGATGACTTATAATACCCAATACAGCATCAATCCTGTGGAAATAGTTATGCTCTCTAGGGAACAAGAAAATCGCACATGATCAATACAGACACAATGTTTTTCAACTCTTTTAATCGATTGAAATTATAAATACAGAGGGCTGATTGTAGTGTAGAAGAGAGTTTAATCTATCTTTATATAAATAATAATGTATCTTTATACAAAAACAAGAATTTTGCTTAAAAACATGGTCTTTGGTACTTTGAAAGGTTATTGGAAGAAAAATAAATGAATGGGTAAGACTAGCCAAGGAAATTCTGGAAAAAGGAAAGACAGGGATGGTTTATACAGACACAGAAAGATTTTGTAAAAACTAAAAACTTAAAAAGCAAAGTCCTGTGTTGTCACCATAAGAAGGGCAGATCAGTGTCACAGAGAGGAAAGGAAAAGTGAGGGCAGGCTACCCCATCGTCCACTTCATTTTTCACTCAGCAGACACTGAGGGGTTACTGCATGGCCGACACTAAATTCCTAGCACTGAGAGTTTCTGTTCCAAGTGGGAAGACAGAGACAAACGAGGAAAAGCCACAGCACATCAAAAGATGACATGGGAACGCTGAGCAAGAGGTGGTCACAGTTTTAAATACATGGCTAGAAAAGGCTTCCCTGAGTGGACAGTACTTCAGCAAAACCTGGTGGGGTGAGAGTAAGTTGTATCAGCATCAAGAGGAAGAGCATCTCACAAAGGTGCATCAGCATGAGCAAAGGTCCTGAGGCAGGTGCCTGGTGAGGCAGGTGGCTGGTGAGGCAGGTGGCTGGTGAGGCAGAGGAAAAACAAAGAGCTCTTTGTTTCTGAAGTAAAATTTGTAAAGCCAAAAAAAAAAAAAATAGGTCAGTTTAGCTGGCAGTGGTAGCACATGGCTTTAATCTCAGCACTTGGGAGGCAGAGGCCAATGGATCTCTGTGACAGCATGACCAGCCTGGCCTACATAGCAAAATCCAGACCAACTGGGGCTATAGGGAGACCCTGTCTCAAAAACAATGCAGAACAAAACAAAATTTAAAATTCAGTTCAATAGTTCAGTTCAGCTGAGAGCCTGGCATTGTCTAAGGCCCATGAGATTTTAAGAAGGCTTGAGGTGCTTACAGTCCAATGGGGAAGATGGTCAAAACACAAACAGTTTAGTGCACAGTTGGTAGGTCCTAACTTAGAGGAGAAGCCCGAGTAGGCAGGGCAAGGCTCTGTGAAGTTTCCTAGAAAGATGGCCTGAGTCGAGTCTGAGCTTTCTCTCTCTTGTTAAATGGTGCCCCAGGGTCTGAAGCCAATGAGAAGCTCCCAACTGATACCAGCCAGTGGCCGCTCAGTGAGCAGCCTGCCATCCCAGATCAGCAGCCCAGCATCTGTGCTCCCTCCAGGCCTGAGCTTGACTGCAGCTGCCGCTGCCTCCCAAGATGCCAGTCAGTGCCAGCCCAGCCCCGACTTCGGCCACGATCGGCAGCTCAGGTATGAGTCCAGTCTGTTGAAAGGATAGAAAGGGGTCCTTTGTGCTTTTCCTTCCCACTCCCCCTTCTACCGTCAGTGGAGACAGAGTTCGGACATAGCTTCCAAGGCTTCCCAGCTGGCCTCAGCTAACAAGACCACAGGGAAGACTCTGGGGTCCTAAAGCCAGGGATGTGACCCCATTGCGTTTGGGTCTGCTGTGAACAGAGTGGGGAGGGGAAGATGAGGGTCATCCATGAAGGGTTCAGCAGGGCTCACAGTGCTGCCATTGGGGCCACAGTCTGGGTGCTACCCTAGATTCATTTCTGTCGCGAAGATAAAATGCCATGATAAAAAGCAATTTGGGGCTTACAACTCCAGATTATAGTCCATTATTGTGAGGAAGTCAAGGCAGGAACTTCAACTAGTCACATCCACAGTCAAGAGGAGAGAGATGAATTCATACATGCTCTCTCACTCGCTTGTGCTCAGCTCAATTTCTCCCCTCTTCCACAGTCCCCCTGCGTAGGGAATGGTGCCACCCACAATGGGTCGTGGTTTTTCCCCCACATCAATTAACTTATTCGGTCCCCCTAATGGACATGCCCACAGGCCAACCCAACGTAGACTATCCTTCACTGAGACTCTTCCCAGGTGAGTCTAAGTTGTGTCAAGTTGGCAAAGCAAGCTAACCATCACAGGTACTAATGATTATGTCTATCTTTCCTTCCTCTGCTCAAAGGCTGTTGCTGAGTCAGCCCATCCAGCCAATGATGCCTGGGTCCTGTGATGCAAGGCAGCCCTCAGAGGTCAGCAGGACTGGCCAGCAAGTCAAGTAAGTGGGGCTGGGGTAGACACCCTTAAGGGATGGTCCCACCCTGGCTATCTTCTTCCTCTTAAAATGATTATCCAGAACCTGGTGTTCCTAGCGGTTGTGGTCCTGGTTTTCACAGGTCTGGTCAAGTTCACTGTGGATGGCCTACGAAAGACAGGGTCAAAGTGCACCTACTGACTTTAGAGACTCTTTTTCCCTGAGCTTTCCTCCCCACTGTTTCCAATGTAAGTAGATAAAACTTGATATCCACTCACAGTACTCCAAACAGAACCTAAAGGCATCTAAATTATCTCCCAGTCTGCTGCCATCTTTGAACATTTTTGTAGATTTCAAAGCCTTCACTTGGTGCCCTCCTGAGTAGATGCCAGCCTCCTCCCTTTTGTTAGATCTTTCTCCAGCTGATGCTGTACAACCATATTCTGAGCTTGCCTACTTCATTATTCTACACTGTAACCCAAGACCATGACACCATGCAAATATGGCTCCCCTTCCCTCCCAGAGATGCAGCCTCTTCTCTCACTTCCTCCTATTCCAGGGCAATTCCCATTACTATAACCGAATGCCACAGATAGGGTAAACTGTGAAGGATTTATATAGCTCCTGGTTATCTAGCAGTAACAGAAAGCCCAAGAGTGCGGCGCTAACATCTGCTTGGCACCTGGAAAGGCCCTTCTTGCTACACTGTAGAATGGGAAAAGGACATTCCATGAAGAGAGAAAGCCAGCGTGCCTATTGAACTCTCCCTCTTATTATAAAACCTCTAATGCCAATATGGAGGCTCTATACTCTTGACCTCACCCAGGCCCAATTACTTCCACAGGCCCACCTGCAAATAGGCCTTGGGTACTAAATTCCTAACACATGGAGGGAACAGATTCAACCCAGTTTCTTTCCCAGCGTCATACCAGGTTGAGAGACAGATTTCCTCAGCTGCTTAATTAGGGACCAGAGTTACTAGAGACATTGGGAGAATCATGTAAATAAGCTTGAAAGCACACTAAAAATAATCTCTAGTCTCATTTTATTTTCTCTTTTTCAAGACAATGTCTTGCTATGTAGCCCTGGCTGTCCTTGAACTCATGGCAGTCTTCCAGCCTGGCTGGGGGAAAGGGGGTGCTGGAATTACAGGTGTGGACCACTATGGCCAGCCTTTTGAAGGGAAGCAAAACAGTTATCACGTTTTCTTGGTATAAACACTTGCTGAATTTGGGTCCAAAGTGTATCAGGACTGTGCTATCTAGTGAGGCCTAGTGTGCTGCCACATAGAGGCACCACAGAACCCCCAGCACCATTTCCTGAGGATTCCTTCCTTACCTTCTGCATCCCATAATAACAGAGCATATCTGGAGTTCAGAGAAGTGTATGATTATTTCCTTTTATCCCAATAAAAAATCTATAGCAGGGGAATTTTTTTCTTCTCTTTTCTTTCTTTCTTCTTTTTTTTTTTTTTTTTTTTTTTTTTTTTTTTTTTTAAAAAAAAACTGTCATTGAAGAGCTTGAGCATTAAAAAGGTGAGATCACACTCTGAAATGCTTCATGTTATCCATGGCAGAGCCAGGGACCAACCAACTCCAGACATAAGCTCCCTTGGCTTCCTGAATCTTCAGAGATGACCTTGTTGGCCCTGAGGGGGTCTCCCTTCAGACCCTGGATAACTTTCTCAGTAACCTCTGCCCCTTGAGACCTAGCCCTCCCCCTCTGCTCATGGAGGGTGAGGAGAGGCTTGCCTCTTGTGGGAAGCCATCTTTAAAGTTCCCTGCTTCTGATCTGAATTCCGCAGGCAGGTTTTGGTTTTGGTTTTGAATTTTGCTAAATAGTTCAAGTAAGTGGAAAAATTCTTGTTTTCTGACTTTCCAAAGGTGCTTAGTCATGCAATCAACTAGGCAAAACCCAGAACTTTTCCCTCCAGCATCTGTGACTACCATTTTTGGTCAACCCAATAATATTTCCCCTACAGTCTCTTCCAGACATGACCTAACAGCTCCATTCTCCAGGGAGTATCAAGATCTACTTCCCACATACACACTGAGGTTGGCGGGGGTAGTCTAGAGTCCCCAAAGCCTGTTACAAATGACCTCATGCGGGGAAATGATATGTCTAAAAATCTAGTGTAAAGGGGAATTCTCTATAGTATCTTAAAACATCTGTTCCTGGTCTTTCCAGGCCTTTCCATGATAGCCATTCTTGACCCTTTGCTGGTGGACAATTATCACCATCTTTCTATATTGTTGTAATTGTGGTAAAACATACATAGTATAACATTTGCCACTTTAACCATTCAGTGGCATTGAGTATATCTGCACTGTTGTGCCGTCATCGCCAGCACCCATCTCCAGAACTTTTCGTCTTCCTAGACCGAACTCTGTACTTGTTTAACAATAACTCCAGTACCCCTTCCCACTGCCTCTGGCAACCACAAATCTACTCTTTCTGTGATTTTGACTCTTTTAGGTACCTTATATCTACTTTTTGTGCTTTGGTGACTGACTAATTCCACTTAGCATAATGCCTTCAAGTTCATATGTCTACATATATATAGACATATATATATATGTCTATATATATATATATTTTGGTCTTTTTAAAGACAGGGTCTCCCTGTAGCCCCAGCTGGCCTGGAGCTCACTATGTAGACCAGGCTGACCTTGAACTAACAAAGATCTGCCTGCCTCTGCCTCCCTAGTGCTGGGATTAAAGGTATATTTTTTTTATTATATTACATAATATATTATGTTTTATTATTTATTATATATTATTATTATATTATTATGTTCATATGTCAGTATTAAGGTAGACTAGTAGTATATTGTCTGGCTGTATTGTGCTTTTTCATCCACTCATCTGTCAATGGACACTTGGCTTGGTGCTACCTCCTGGCTATTAAGAATAATATTTCTGTGTGTGTACAAGTATCTGTTTAAGTGCTTACATTTACTTCACTTGAACATATACCCAAAACTGGGATTGCTGGAGTAGGCAGTAATTCAGTTGAACATTTTTATTAATTTTTAGTTAGCATACAGATTAATGGGAATTACCGTGAAATTTTCATACATATACACCATTCTGCTTGTTCTTATTTTCTCCCCACTACCCTTCCCCATCCTGCATTCCCTCTCTCTTTCTGATTTCCCCTTCCTCCCCCCACATAGACCCTCTTCCTGCTTCCATGTCTCATTATTCCATTACCTTCTCTTGTTCCCCAACCCGCTCCCTTTAGACCCTTTCCCTCCCTTTCACAGCCTTCTATTTTCCTCTCTCTCTCTCTCTCTCTCTCTCTCTCTCTCTCTCATACACACACAATTTTAAATCTAGAGACAACATGATCTTTGTCTTTCGGAGTCTGGCTTATTCCACTGTGTATATGAACTACTGTACTTTTCCCACTGTTCTACTGAAGGACATCTAGACCGGTTCTGTATCTTGGTGATTGTGAATAGTGCGGCAGTAAATATGGATGTGCAGGTGTCTCTGTGGTAGGAATAGAGTCCTTTGGGGTTAGGCACAGCAGTATTATAGCTAGGTCATATGACAGTTCTAATTTTACTGTTTTGAGAAACCTCCATGTTGATTTCCATAGTGGCTGCATTGCTCCCACCAACAGTGAAAGAATTTCTCTTCCCACATCCACACCAGCTTTTGTTGTCATTTGTCTTCTTGATATTAGCCATTCTGACTAAAGTGAGATAGTATCTCAGAGCAGTTCTAATTTGTATGTTCCTGATGTCAAAGGATATTGAATATTTTTTCAGATATTTATTGGCCGTTTGTATTTCTTCCTTTGAGAACGTTCTCTTCGATTCGTTAGCCCATTTGTTGATTGGATGATACTTTGGGTACTTAAATTTGGAGTTAAGATTCTAGAAATTAATCCCCTGTTGGATATATCATTGGCAAAGATTTTCTCCCTTTCTGCAGGCTGTCTCCAGTCTGTGATTCTTTCTTTTGTTGTACAGAAGTGTTTTATGATTATGCAATTCTATTTATCAATCCTTGGTATTATTTCCTGTGTTCTTGGGAGTTCTTTTCCTGTGTCTTGATATGTTTTATCTATGTTTTTCTCCATCAGTTTCAGAATTCAGGACCTACTAATTAATTAAGGTCTTTGATCTATTTTTAATTGATTTTGAGCATGGTGAAAAAGATGGATTTAGTTTCATTTTCTACATGTGAAAATCCAGTTTTACCAGCACTATTTGTTGAAGAAGCTTTCTTTTAGCCAATGTCCTAGTTTGTTTCTTCATTGCTGTGACAAAACACTCTGACCACTACCAACTTGGGGAGGAAAGGGTTTATTCAGCTTACATCTCCCAGGTCGTAGTTCATCAGGGAGCCCAAGGTAGGAACTCAGGGCAGGAACCTGGAAGCAGGAGCTGGAGCACAGGCCATAGAGGAACGCTGCTTACTGGCTTGCTCCCCTGCCCCTGCTCAGCCTGCTTTCTTATGCAACACAGGCCCACCTGCCCAGGGGTGGCACCACCCACAGTGGGCTGGGCCCTCCCACATCACTCATCAAGAGGATGCCCCTCAGATATGGCCACAGGTCAGTCCAATAGAGGAAATGCCCCAATTGAGGCTCCCTCAACCCAGGTGTGTCAAGTTGACACTAAAACTATCCAGCACATCCAATGTATGTTTTTTGACACATTTATCAAAGATTAGTTGCAGTAGGTATGTGGTTTTACACCTGTCTCTACTAGTCCATTGGTCCTCATATGTTTCTGTGCCAGTACCGTGCTATTTTTGTTCTCTGGCTCTGTAGTGCAATTTGAGATCAGGTGTTGCGATGCCTCTGGTGTGGCTCTTTCTGCTGAGCATTACTTTGGCTATTTGAAGTTTTTTATGCTTCTATATGGACTTTAGGATTTTTTTCTAGTTCTATGAAACATATTGTTGGAAGTTTGATAGAGATTGTACTAAATCTGTAGATCACTTGATAATATGGCCATTTTCACAATGGTGACATTGCAAATCCTCTCTTGGACATGGACGTTTTCCGT